GACAACAAATTAACAAAATTAAGGTTGGTGCCACCTGATGCAGCTCTTCATTGTGTTAGGGAGTTGAATCTAGTTGTTGTTTTCTGTTCTGTATGATTTTGAGTAATGTGTTGACAGTAAGTATTTTCCTTTTCTAATACCTTTTAATAAACTTAATATTATTTTACAACAATGGTCTGGTTCTTGAGCACACCTGCCCTGGGAACCCAAGGGGTCTGACCTTGAGTTTCCTTGACAATATCTATCTGCTGCTGTCACATACAATACAGTTCTATGTATATTTACTCAGAAATAAGTTCCATAAAGTTAGCTGGACTTAGTCTCATGTATGTATCCAGAGGATTGCAATTGAAAGATAGCACAAAATTAACAACTAGGAAAAGTCTTGATATAAACCTTTAGTCTTCGTAGATACAAATTCCAGTGGGGGTAGCCATATTACTCTGGTTACAGAAAAAAACAAAGAGCCTTGTGGCATAAGCTTTTGTGGGCTAGAGCACTTCTTCATTGGACATGCTGGATGCTCATGCTGGAATAAATCTGTTAGTCTTTAAAGTGCCACACTCTTTGGTCATCCACACATGTTATCTACCCCAGGTTCAATGCTGTGGAGAAGCAGGGTTTTTTTCCTGTTTTCCCACAGCATTGTGGTACATCTGTGCATCTCCTGGGTTTCCCTGGCTTTTTGCTAATCGTTCTCACACCTGCTTCCCTCCCAAGTTTTAGGAAAGACTGCAGAAAAGTCTGGATGGCTGCTGTGCAGGTGGGAAAATCTGGATTTTCCATTCCCCCCCCACCTCCACGACTGAGGGTAGCTATTTGATTTTTTTTTAATCAGCACTAGAATATTGTTATATTGAAATACCATTATGAGAATATGTGTACCAGGTTCTCTACATTCTCAGCTTTCTTCCCCCCCCCCTTTTTTTAAAGTAAGTAGCCTCTTCCCTTGTGGAAACATAAGGGAAAAGGCATATATGGCAATGGAAGGAGGGAAGAGACTTGGTGATAGTGGAAAGTGCCATCAGGTTGCAGCTGATTTATGACAACCTCATAGGGTTTTCAAGGCAAGAGATGTTCAAATACCTATTGGCTGCCTCTGCATAGCAACCTTGGACTTCCTTAGTGATTTCCCACCCAAATACTAACCAGGGCCAACCATGTTTACCTTTCAAGATCTGATGAGATCAGGCTAGCATGAACCATAGCAGAGACTTAACTTTTAACAAAATGAAACTGGGGAATGCAGAGAACCTGTTAACCTTTTATTACAATGGTATACCAACAATATTCTAGCACTTAAAAAAAACACTGCAAAGCCCTGGTGGACAAAGAGAGAGGGGTGGCTGGTACTGGGGGCTGGGGCAAGGAAATTGCAGGGAAACCTGCCATCTGGAGCCCCACTGCTGCTGCACTTTGTCCACAGCTGCACCACCCCCTCCATATGTAGAAACAACCTTTACCTGTTTTGGATTGGTCACTGAACGCGAGCACCATATACAAGCTTACAAATTGTCTTTATTGAGTTAGCAAACAAGAAGCTAATAATATTGACATGCATCTAATTCAGTACTGTGATTTTATTGAGCAAATATCAAATGCTAATTTCCCCGTTTCAGGTACAACTGTTTTCTCCTAACAGCTTTTAGTCAGCATGGTTCACCAGGACTCAGGTTAAAACTACGATCCACATACAAAACAATTCAGTTAGAGCCATCTCACATGTTACAACTCTGCACAGAGCACTGTGATGTGGAAGTGGTTTTTTGGCACCCTCCATGTGAAGGTGTCACATACAATGTTGCCCTCAGTCCAACTGACTTCAGATGCTTACTTATCTTAAATAGCTTAGGGATGGCAGGGTTAGCTCAATGGCAGTTCAGAACCTATAGTCTATAAAAATAGTTCCTCTTTTCCTATGTGCATCCAAGACAATCTGTGATCTTCAAAATGAAACTCTACAAAAAAATTGTACAAAAAATATAACAACTCCTAAAGGTGAGGAAGGAAGACCAGGCTGTCCTTTTTATTACTAGAGCCATAATTTTACCAAATAATTGAATTAGTGTTAAGTGTCAGCTAGACCTGCAACATAAACCAGAGATAACAGCCATCTGTCCCTTTAGTAATAGGCAACCTTGTATTGCCCTGGGGACATCCAAAAATATTTGAGTCATCTCACTTTAAATACACTGAAGTGTAATCCAGGTATGATTAAATTTTTATAGACCTATGCTAAAGGCATCCGGTTTGATTTTCAGGGCCCCTGTACCTTTCTTTGCTGTAGAGTCAGAGTCAGTTGGTAAGGCTTTTTTGAGCAAGCAGATAAACTGATGGGAGACAGGTATGTAGCAGGTACAGGACAGGTATGTAGCAGGTACAGGCAGTGCAGACCTAAGATGGCGAGCCAAGCATGTAGCATAACAGATTTCTGACACTGAATAATTTTCAATCTATTGTCCTTGGAGGAAGCTATAAGTATGGACATATAATCAAAATGAGACTTGTTTTCTGCTTTGTATTTTGGAAGAACTAATTTCTTGCTTTTTAGTGATGTTCATGTGGAATTGCCAGCTAATTAAAGTATGGTTTGTTGTATGGGGTGTCTGTCTGCCCTAGCAAGGCAGGCTGTGGCTACATAGCCTCTTTTCCTTCTAGGACCACAAACACTTGATTCTATGAGACTTGCCATCAGATGAGAATTTAAACAAAATCATGGACATGCTAGCTGTAAAAATGCATGCCATGAGCCATACATACACTGTGATTACTCATGATATTGGGGGAAAGGCTTAACAGGGAATAATCATTATGTTTTATATCACACACACATAAAAGTTTACTCCAAGCTTATCCAGTCCAGTTGCAGAAGTGGTTGATTTTCATCGCTGCTTTTAGCGAAGTTTTTAAAATCTTAAATTGGTTTTTCAAAGCTCATTTGGAAACACTTGGAATTCATTTTTAATTACCACTTCAAAGTGCTTTTCTTTTCCAGCACTCACATCACTCGCCCAGTGAATTTATCCTTGTAGAATTAGGGTGTTGTGGCAAGCTGGGAATACTACAATTTATTATTTAAATGTCTAGATGGGAAATTATAATGAAAGGCTTTGTACCAACCTGAGCTATTCCCTTACTAAACTGATCAAAATGTTCTACTTTTCAAGAGCAAGAGATATCAACAGGGATGGTGCAACTACAAAATCGGCAAGGGGGAGGAGACTTCCTCCTGCAAAGCACTGCAAAACAATTACTTAATCTGGTAAAATGAAGTCAGAAGACTGATGACAAGACCACGGATTACATCATCTGTTTGTGGACATCTTTAGTTGGATGCAACCTGCCTGGCATCATATACAGGAAATGATATTTGTAGAATGTCTCCAACTAGAATGTCAAGAGGAAAAAAAACAAGGTAAATAATAAATGATATACTTAGCAGCATGAACACTATCTAGCTATCCAGCCCATTTGGATCCCACCCTTCCTCCAAGGAGCTCACTGTGGAAAGAATTTTCAGAAATATAGAAGGTTTGGGTTTAAAATGAACCAAACAGTTTATGAAATCCATATATATCTGTCTTTGCTCTTGCAGGCAGACAGCCTTGGCCTGTTTGAATCAGACCCCATGAGTCTTTGCAAGCCCTTTTTGTCCCAGGAGGATTTCTGTCTTGGTCACACACGCAAAAATGTAACACATTCCATTCCCAGCCACAGATGTGAGACTTGCCAATACCCCCAATTTCCTAGGCCATAAAATATATGACCATTTGGGAAGGGGGCAGACTTCAATCCATAAGACTAACTTCCTGAGATACAGAGGGTTCACACACACACCCTGCTTTCATCTCTCTGATAACATCAAAGGACAGTTCATTTCCCACATTGGGGAACACCTGGAAGAAACAATGACACTGTATTGATCCTGTAAAATGTGTACACTTTTGTTGTGTGAGACCAAGGAAAGGAAACAAATTTCCTGCAAGACAATTTCAACTTCTATGAAACAATTTACAGTAGGCAATTTCCACTTGTAAATGGTAACTGTAATATGATTATCAAGGGACCCCTTTGATCTTTGGTATAAATACTGGTCAGTTACAACAGATCCCTGCTGCCTCCTGTTAGGAGTCAGTCAGAGAGGCCTCTCGTCCGCGCATGCATGGGGTGTGGGAAACTTTGCTGCATGTTTATTTTTCTGTGTATTCCATCAATGTTTAGGAAATAGGATTCTACTGTGTGGCAGGCTGGCATAGCGTCTTGCGGTCATCTTGCCAGACAAATCTCTGAATGTTTTTCTATAATAAAGATAAGTTTTATTTTAAGAAGAGACCTTTGAATGTCTCTGCCAGAGCCTTAGTGATTTCCAAGCTTACACTTCTGCCTTAGGTAAGGAGGCAATCACTCAGGAGACACACGAACTGAGGGGGAAAAATGTGGGTGACATGGGTAAACACGCTTTCACAAACACGTGCAGCCACCCACATTTTTCTTACAACACTCACCTTGGCCTCCATGGGGTTATCCCATTTCACAATTATAATATGGAGAATTACTTGCCTACTGTCATCCATTCACCTTTATGGTGTGGAGGGGATTTAAACGAAGACCTCCCCAATCAAAGCTGAAAACTCTATTCACTACGGTGGCTCTTGTTGGACGGTGGCCACATAAAAGATGAGATATCAAGGACAAACTACTTTTTCTAAGGAGACAACCTTTATTTTTATCACACTTTTCTGCCAAAAGCTCAGGAAGCAGCATACTTGGCTTTCCTACTTACTTGTTCTGAGAACAACCCTGTGAGGTCTGTAGAATGGCTGAGAGATGGTGAGTGGGCCTGGGTCACTGAGTGAGCTTTATGGGCAATTGGGGGATTCGAACCCAGACCTTCCCAGTCCTATCTCATCACTCCACCACCACACCATACTGAATAAATTTTGACTGAAGAAAAGATAAGCGAATTCATAATTCCCTTACATGCAGTGAAATTGAAGCATTCACTCGTAGAACACTTGGTAGCTAAAATTGTCAGACTTGATTTGGAAGTTATATTCTCCAGCCTTTCGTTGGTATCGGAAAGCCAAAAGAGCGACTATTCCCAGTGCAAGAACAAATACACCAATGACAATAAGGACAATATAGCCTACTCCTAAACCAGGCTTCTTTTCTTCATTTAAATCATCTGAAATACAAGAAATAAAAGTATCTTAGAGCAGAACTCAAGTGTGCAAATTATGTAAAACTTGATCAGATATGGAGATCGCAACCAATCTAAACTCCTCGCTTGTATGAATAGCCCCATCTTCACACCATCAGTGGTTCTGTATTTCACTAGCAGTCAAAAAACAGAATTTAAGAAAGACGGCAAGTGTGTATATAATTCATTGGATGTGGGTTTAGGCATTGCCAAGACTCATTACTCAGAGGTCACTGGGACAACAATTTGGCTGGCTGACATAAAAAACAGGTCTATTCAATGGTGCTGACTCCCAGGAATGTGTTTTTTATGTTTAATCTCATCTGTCTGCATTATCTGTCCCCTCCGTACCACCTTCGCAACTGCCCATTCTGCTCCTTACTGGGAAGAAAGACTTGCCAAGGTTACTGCTGGCTTGTAATTTTTAAAATTAAAATATTATTGTGTTCCTGGAGCAGCACCAACATCAGCAGCAGTGGTAAGCAGAGAAGATGGGTGGGCAGATCTGAGGTGGGGAGTTGGGCGGAGAGACATCTAATTTCCCTCTCTACTACAGGCTATGTTCCAGTTCTGTCTCTAGCAGAACTGATCTCTTCAGTCCAGAGATCAGCTTTAATTCTGGGAGATCCCTAGGCACTATCTGGAGATTGACAACCCTAGGCCACAGCAAGTCATGCCAGGAGAAGAGACATTTGGATGTTGAGCTGGGTGTGTGTGTGTGTGACAGAAAGATCGGGATCCTTTGTGACGGCTGTAATTCCATATGAGATTAATTGGGTTCTAACAGAAGGCTCAAGAGACTTGTTAATAAATGGCTGCTGAGATTATATTCCACCATCATCCTGCCCTAGAAGGCCCAAGTTGTGCGCAAGCATAGTGTGGCACTTTATTTTCTGAATCCTGACACAGCAGTTCAAGACCATATGACGGCTATTATTTTTGCAACCATCAGTCAAAAAAGCTAGCTAAGCCTTGATTACCTGTGAACAGTTCTGTTGCCTTAGTTCCCAAACTGCCTCATAGTTGCTTTAATTCCTTTAGGCTGACTTCAAGCTATCTCAACCTTAATTCTCACCTGCCTGTGTCCCTTTTGTGGTCCTTAGTGGACTCCTTACTGATTACTCACCACTGGCTTTCCGCAGAGGCCCCCAGGATGTATGGGGCGTTGCAATAGTTTCCCCAGTCCTCCAAGAACGGACACCTTTGCAGTTCTGTAAGAATGTTTTTGTTCAAATCAAAGGTTTGCTTATCAATATGAAACACTGAACATAAGGTTGCTAATCCAGTCCTACAAAATTATTTATACTGTGGAATCCCATAGTTTTCAAGTAAATCAAGAACCACTCAAAAATTCTATGGCTCCTCTTCCCTTGTCACAGCCTAATCTTGTAGGCCCTTGAAATGGGTGCTTGGCTTCTATGGCTGGTTCAAGAGGACACCTCTTCTATTTGTTCCAAAAAACTTGTACCCATGTACTGAAGCAACAGTAGCAGCCGTCGTGCAACATTGGGAAAGTGAAAGGAGTGGCACTTCTGTTTCATCCTAAACTCTGTGAGAACTACAGCAACTAAAGTGAGGGACAGAATCAGGCTGCCCAAATATTTTCTGTTTGGGAAAAAAAATTAAATCCAGATACTATATATACTTACTAAGGAAGCTACCTCTTAACAGACTTGGAGCTCCATCCTAAACAGGAATACTTAGAAAGCAAGTCCCATTAATTTCAGTAGAAATAACTTCTCAGCATCAGAGTGGAAAAGTACACAAAAACTATCTAGTTCTAGCCCTATCACATGGCATAGCAAGCACTTTCTCAATTTTCCACCTCTACGCTAGAGAAGGTGGTAGAAGCTTTTTGAGACACTAGCAACTGAATGTCCAAATCATTCGTGCTTTGGCTGAAGAAGACCTTCTCCTAGTGAAGTCAATGGGATGAAACTATTTTAAATTCAAGTATTCAAGTTTAACAGATTTGGGGATTCCAGTCTCATACCCTTAATTTTCTGTTTAATAAAAGATTATATTGATGTTCCCTTTTACTTTTAGTAAGCAGCCTAGTATTTTTAAACTGGTGCAACTTTAAAAAAAATCAGAACAATGTATAAGCATTTAAGTTGTTTTGTTATCATTTTGTTTTCCCTTTTAGTGTCCAATAGAACATGTAGAAAGCAATAAAGTTTGGAAAGGGAAATGCCTTACCGTCTTGCAAGTGCTTCCCAGATTTTCCACACAAATATGGATTTTGCAGTGTAAGTAAACCACAGAGTTGTTCACAAAGGAAAAGATTTTCAGCTTAAATTGGGCTTTGCTGGAGATCCCATTTGCAGTAATAGCAGTATGTGTGTTTGGAACTGGACAACTGAGAAAAAGAAACAGATCAGTACAACAATTAGTTTATGCATGCACATTCTCATAGGCCCCTCGTGCTTCAATAGTGTCTTTCCAGGGGTGTCATGATCTGTGCAGGACTGGGAGCAAGGCCTAGTGCAGCCTGGTCCCAGGAGAGCCCAGCATGGGAGTAGAGAGCAGACAGCCTACAATCCTCATAATGCTTAGAGAGGGTTATAGCCAATCAGAGTTCAGAGATTCTGTGAGGAGATTCGGACAAGCTGTTAACTGTGTAAAAATCAGAGTTCAGAGATTCTGTGAGGAGATTCAGACAAGCTGTTAACTGTGTAAAAAAAATGGTTTTCTTTCCACACTCAGAGCTACACTGAAGGGGACTATGTTCTTTCATCTCATCTGCGGTCTGGTCTCACAGAGGGGACAGGCTGGGCTGGTGAGAGAAACATCCCCGCCCCGGGACCTCTGGTGGATGGGGACTCGCAATGGTCGAACCCCATCGAGCTCCGATGGGGGCAAGGCGGATCGGGGCAGCAGGGAGGGGGATTGGCTGGTCCCGACCTCCCCATGAAGCTCTTGAAGGGAGCTTCTAGCCTGGAGCGCCAAAGGGGCCGCTCCCAAAGTTTTGGCTTGGGGGAAGTGAGCTCATTTTTGCTCCGAAAGGTCCCACTGTCCCGAGGTCAGCAATGGTGCTCAGAGACATTACCCGACCAGAGTGTACAAGGACTTAACTAAAAAGATTAATCTACATAACAAAGCGATTCAGCGACTATAGAAACAATTAGTTAAGTTTCAAAAAGAAAGACATATACAAAAAGGGTGGAGGAATAAATTGTGGCACAGCAAAACAGCATAGCTCCAAAGAGAAAAGGGGGGAGGGACTCGCAGAGGAAGAACCCTACCCAGTAGCGAAACTTCAGCGTAAAAGCATGCTGGGCTTAAGCTATTAACCACCCTACCCAGAGGTGGGCTAATACATCTGGGCTAATTACCTACAGCATAGAAAAGATCTTAGAACTTTTATGAACTTTTACCAAAGTATAAACAATGTCTCAGCGAGGGGGATAAATGGCGTCCAGAGGCAGAGGTTCTGCAAGAAATACCAACACAGCATCACCAGTCACAAGACTGAAAAATATCAGCGAGTTAGCCACTGCAATTTCTGAAGCCATGCGCCCTCTGCTGGACCAGCTGATGAACCTCACCCCAAAATTTGATACTTTACAGAAAGAGCTCAAGGAAACTACAGCCAAAAAGATAAAAAAGGTTGAAATGAACACCAAAGAAATAGATCAAAGAGTGGACACTGCAGAAAAAGAAAGAGCTTCTGAAAAGCAACAACTGTTACAGCTACAAGTGGAAAGATCTCTCTGTGTTTTGAGCAACTTTTACAGCTACAAATGGAAAGATCCTCTTTCGTCTTGAGATTCCAAGGAGTGCCAGAGAAAAAGATGAAAATGTAAGAGAAACTATAAGCGAAGCAATAGCCCCCTTAATCAATAACAGACCTGGATTAATACAAGCAGATATTGATATGATCTACAAAACTTATTCAGAGTTTGTGGGGGGAAATAATCTCCCAGGGGAATTTTTTGTAAAATTTGCAAAAAGATCAATAAGAGACTCAATACTTAAAGCATCTACAGCAACAACAGTTAAAATTCAAGAAGAGGAGATAAAAATATTGAAATATGTCCCATTTGAAATATGCAAGAAAAGGAAGCAATACAGAAATGTTACAGCATTCCTCCAAAAGAACAATGTCCAATACAGATGGACTCTCTATTAAAAGCAGAACTTTTTTAAACAGCAACAATCTTCAATCAAACAAAGAAATGGAGCAGAGGAAGAAAAGGCAATGGAAAAAACAGTGAACAACAGAAATCCAATACGGATAGTTCATCCTCTACAGCTACTTCTGTGTCTTTGGGTGAAATTTTTGACTATGACTCTGATTCTGACCTAGAAGAAGCTGCTCCCAAAACCTTTAAAGTAAATCTTCCCTGGCAAAAGAAGAAAAAAAGTAAAGCTAAGAAGAAACCTAAGTGAAGATCTGAGATTGCATATGCTGACATTTAATGAAGCTATATTATTACCCAGATGTGTTATAATACCAAAAATGCCTTTATGTTTTTTCTATTTGAACACTTCTAATAGAATTTAAAGAACTGAATGTAATTTATAACATGTAGACATATATCCAAAGCATATGAATAGCTTATCAAAGTACCTTGTTATTCTCTTTTGTAGTTTTTAGTTTTGTAGTGTGTACTAAGAAAATCAATAAAAAATTATTGAAAAAAAGAAAAAAAGAAAGATCCCGGCAGGAGGCCGAGTATAAGAAGGCTGTGGGCCTGGAAGTAGTAACCAGTTTGGAGTAATAGTGTTAGCTTTGTGTTCTTTTGGCCTTTAAACACTGTTATGTATTTTAAAGCACCTTGCCTTGTCTTGGTTTTCCCAAGCCCAGTGCTGTAATAATAAACCCTTTGGTTAATTGTTTCTCTGCCTTGGTCATCACACTTACATTTCTCAGCTAAAAGGGGGCAATTGGAAGGGGCTTGGGAGGGTACCCTGGGCCTTCTCAAGGGACCTAAATCAAGGGTGGTGGCAGCATAAGGTGGCGACCCCCTGGGGTCATGACCAGGGGTTACACTGGACATGAGAAATGAGGGAAGTAAGATCCCTTCTGCAAGCTTCTCTCCATTTGTAGAAGTTTGTGTCCAGTCCTATGTATTTATTTGTGACAAGCTGAATACTTAAGTACTTAATTAGTCCTTTGAGTGCTCAAACCACTTCATTTGTGTTATCTCAACACTAAAGGGAAGCCAATGGAGTTATTCTTACATTTCAGACAGGGAGCACAGGCTGAGGAGCAGGAGCAGGAGTCTTGCCAGAAGACTATCTAAACAGATTAAAGTTTTGCCATTGAAGACAGTGGTGGCAACCTATGTAGGGGTAGGACTATTAAGTAAGAAAATATCAATCACTTGTTAAAGCACAGCTGCTTTTTCTGTTGCCTAATTTTGTGTCCTTGTGTATTAAGAACTTACAGACTTGCCCACATGAAAACACATTATACACACGCACACTATCATCTTGTATCGGTTGTGTGTACTATACCTGCCATGGATAAAAGGAAACGATATAAGATCCATTGAGTTATTACTTGGAGTTGCCCAACATTCACTGACAACCACCTTGAGCTTGCTGTCCTCTTTCCGAATTCCCACTTCAATCATTATGTCATCGCTAGCAGAGATGCTGAAGTTTTTGGGAATTAGAGAATTTCCAATGAAGAGCTGCATCTCTGTTAAGAAGTGTCCTGATCCATGTAAATCTTCAAAAATGGTGTAAACCCTGAAAGCAAAGTTATCCGATGTTAAGATTTGTGGAAGAGAATTCATTTACAAGGGGTGTCACATGTGCCCAATAGTGCTGAAATAGTGCTGAAAGGACGCTTGATGCAAAAGAATGACTTTTATGGTGTTTTATGTTTTCATAAAGTTTTACTTTGTGAATTGCCTCAAGCAGGTTCTCTGGAGTGTCACCATAAAAATGAGAGAACAGTACCTTGCTCCACCCCAGGTTAAGAATTTTTAAAAGACGGCTGTGCATGGATTTATGCAGGTGATGACTAACATAAAGGTCAAAAGTTGCTTAGCTATAGAAATGGTATTTTCATCACCTTCATTTATGGTATCTTCTTCACCAAATTAAAAGGCCCCTAAATGAGGAAAGCTGCCAAGGAAAAAGTTGATTTGTTTGAAATGTGATGCTGAAAGAGAGTTTTACAGAAGCCATGGACCGCTAAAAAGACAAATATGTGAGTTTTAGATCAAATCAAGACTGACTTGTCCCTAGAAGATAAAATGACTAAACTGAGGCTATCATACTATATATAGTATGAGAGAGAGAGAGAGAGAGAGAGAGAGAGAGTTAACTCTCCTAAAGAGGAGAGAATTTTATTGCTTTAAAACTTTCAGAAAAGGGGAGGGAATATAGGGGGATTAAGAAAAGTGGTGAGTGGTCTCTTAATTAGTAAGTTAGTCTTTTGTTAGTAACAATAATTTCTTCAGCTTCTTCTGTGTTTGACTGATCGTCCTTCATCTTGACCTGTAAATAACAAAATTGTTAATAGTTTTAGTAGTGACCTTTTGGGTTAATACAGTCCTTTAATGCGCTCTCCGAACAAATCCTCAGATCTTGGGGTTTCTTCCTTTTACGTCTCTCAAGTTGTAAGATGGACCTTTAGCTGCTCCTTCTTCTTCTGGTTTCTTGTCCTCCCTCTCCGAGCCGCTGTCTTCTTCTCTGCTCAGTACCTCCCATTTTGCGAGCTCTGCTTCTTCCTCTGAACTGGAATGCCTCTTCAAAAAGTCTTGAGCTTTGAAAATGGAGTCAATCTTTTCTCTTCAAATTTGAAGATAAGTTCTTCTGGAATCAACCATCTATAATTGATTTGATACTTTCGCAAGAATGTGGTCAGTCCTTTATAAGCTTTCCGCTTCATATGAATTTCAAATGGAACATCTTTCAAAATTCTTATAATTTGCTCTCCAATCTTCAAAGGCGTTGCAGATGTTGCTCTCAAAATTTGATCTCTGATACGCTGCTTAGTAAACTTGACTACCACTTCTGCTGGCAGGTTATTTTTCTTTGTAAAGTTGGAGTAGGCTCTATAGGCCAAATCCATCTTTTCGCTTAATTTATCCGCTTCCCTGCCAGTCAGTGGAGCCAAAGCACTCGCCAGGATACTCCTGAGATCTTCTTTTTCCACCTCTTTTATGCCTTGAAATTGAAGAGTTAAATTAGATTTTTCCATTTGTAGCATCAATAATTTGTTGTCTTGTATTTCTTGATGTTTTTCCATTTTGTTGATCTTCTTCTTGATTTTTTGTGTGTCCTACGTTGATGCCAGACACTTCTGTGCAATTTCCTCCATCTTCTTAGCTGTATCAGTCAGTTGTTTCTGTTGGTTGCTAAGGGCACTTTCCATGCTTAGCAACATTTGGTTGATTTTCTGTATTTGGTCCAGAAGAGGGCGAAGCATCTCGCTTTCTTGTTGATTGACAGCCTGCTCTCCAGGGCAGGCACTGGAACCGGAAGTTCCTGTTGTCTTCTTCGTCTGCTTGTCCGGGAATCTCTTTTGCCCTGACATCTTTGGGGTTTTTTTTGTTTACTTTTCAAAAGTTCATTCCGCGCAGCTTGGGAAACAATCCATTCAGTTCGCTTTTACAAATCTCCCAAAAGGTAACTTTCATTTTTCAATTTTTCACCCCCCCCTCTTCTCTTACTTAAAACAGTCTCTTTTTGTTGGGGGGGGTAATCCACCCTCCGTCCAAGCGCTTATTCAAACGGGGGGGTTGCACTTAAAACTTTCTTTTTTTCGATTGTCAACTCACAGTTTGTAGCTGGACATCTTCTCTCTTTTATACTTCATCGCTTTACCACTCCAATGGTCTGGTGGTGTTGCTAGTCCCCATTTGGGGCACAGCACAGCGGGGCCGTCGGGGCATGGGGAAAGCCTCAATTTTCCGACCTTCGGGTCGGTAAAGAGGCTACTCCCCTGAGCGCCCCCTGGTTCGGAGCCTTTACCTAAGGCTCCTTAGGGTCTTCGCTTGTGCAGATACCTCCCCAGTCTGCGTGTGGGCTGATCGCCTCCGGGAGCACCCGAGAGAGCGACTGCCATTCGCGCCGCCGTGGCCAGAAGTCTCGAGGCTATTGTACTTTAATCACATCATAAGATGATGATTCACTGGAAAAGACAATAATGCTAGGAGCATTTGAAGGCTGTAGGAAAAGAAGATCCATCATGGAATGGATTGACTCAATAAAGGAAGCCACAGCCTTCAGTTTGTGAGACCTGAGCAAAGCTGTCAATGATAGGACATTTTTAATTCATAGGGTCCCTATAAGTTAGAAGAAACGTGATGGCACATAATTTGTTCTTGTTGTTCAGTCGCACAGTCGAGACTGACTCTTCACGACCCCATCATGCCAGGCCCTCCTGTCTTCTGCCATCCTCTGGAGTTTGCTCAATGGAACATAATACACACACATATTTCTCTTCCCTCTGAATTTTCCACTTTATTAAACATAACTGTCCTTTACACTTTTCCTTATTTCTCTTTGCCCCTTAGTCTTCTACCCTGCCTTTTTACAAACTCTCAGCAGTGATATTTTGTACTTGGATATAGACTTCCATCAAATATGTGTTGGCAGAGTAATTAACACAGTGATGGTACACAACCTGATTAAAGTGTAGATAAAAGTTTATTTAGGAACAAATAAATAGTAAAGAGGAGAGAGAGAGATAGGGTCCTAACTACATCACTAGCTAAGAGAGAGGGCAAAACTAAGTGTGGTACTTCTGAGAAGAAGAAGCAGGATATTGCTCTAAGAGTAGCCATCTGGAGACAGACAAGGAAGGACACTCAACAGGAGAGAAGGTTATAACCGTACTACCCTATCTAATTGTCTTCTTGCTGCCCCCTGGAGGATCTTTTTCTCTTCTTCTTTGTACATTGCCTATTCCAGCCATTTGAAAGGGCATGTAGGTAAAAATTGATGCAAACCCTTTAAAAGATCTGGCTGCAATGTGCACTCCAAACTGCTTTAAAGGGAAACACCCATTGGTATGTGGTTTTCTCACTTGATGAGATGCTTACATATTTTATACATATTTTATACCTGTGTTACAATACATAAAACGAGAACTAGCTCTGAGCGCCCTGTCCAGTCCTTTCTCTAAAGATCTCCTTCCCCACTCTATTTGCTGTCATTCTATAATATGCAACGTGTATGTGTGTGTGTGTGGGGGGGGGTATTATAGCAATAGGTTCTTAGATTTCATTTACCCCTCCGGAGTGTATCCAGATGAAGTCAAGAGATCATTCTGAAATATACAATGAACTGGACCAACAACCTTTAAGTGATGGATGACCCCCAGGGAAGACATATCATTCCGAAGAACCGTTTTCACTATGGTATGCGTTGTATTCTGGAAAATAAATACAGCAAAAAAAATTAAAGACTGGATCTACCCAGGGGTTTCATTCAGTTTCATCTTACCTCCTTATTATGATTGCAGTCCTACATGCCTTTCATCCGTGCAGGTCCCCATGACCCCTAGTATAGCCCTTTTAGTGGTCACCTCTCCTCCCCATTCTCCCAGCAGAAAAGCTGCTTGTATCCAGCCCTAACTCACATTTCATTTAAGTGTTAAGGATACCTTTGAGGTCTTTTACACATTTGGATTGCAGCACAGAGAAAATTCAATGATCAGGTACAGGACATCTTCCAAATGCAGAAAGGCTAAAAATATTACATCCCTTCATCTTAGAAAAGCAACAACTTCAGCAAAATTGAAATTGAATTTTAAACTGAAGTTGAAATTGTATTGAATTAAAACCAGGAATGGATAAGAAAAAAAGAACAATAGAGACGAAGGGGTAGCCCTTTCACTTTAAGACAACACCTGTACCGCAGCCCAACAGTGATGCAGAGCTGTTCATATATAGCTGTGCACTGATTTCAGTCATGTACTTACAATGCTGGAGAGAGTGCATCCCAACATTGACCACACTGTACTTTTTAATGAAGGCTAACTCACTTTTTAATGAAGGCTAATTCACACAACCCTTGGTTTGGGGTGGCCTCTAGGAATTCTTGCACCATCATGTGGCCCACCAATTGTATGCAGCTATCATTAAGCAAAGGATTAAGATCTGAGCACAGAATTACAAAAGATGCAAAATGTAGGTTTGTAATGGCATGCAAAAGCAGTAGTGCTGCCTGCATATGGCTGTTGCAGGAGTCATCATGTATAGCAACTTCAAGCATTTCTTGCAAACTGAATCAGCTAACTTTGAGAGGGAAGCAGATGCCTACGGCTACTAACATTGGCAAAGCAATACAATCAGGGAGCTCCGTGTAACTTACAGTGTGCACTTCAGTTCCACATTCATTCCATCCAGTCCGAAGGATGACATGACTGGAATTGCTGATGCTTACATTGCAGTGCGGCTCTCCTAGGTACAAAGAGGATTCTGGAATAGCCTCCTGCTGCAGAAAGAGCTTCTGAATAGTGATGACAACTTTTTCAATCTCACATACCACTCGAACTGCATTCTTAATGGAAAGCTTCTGGACTGATTTAGTGACAGGCAAGGAAGAGACTTGGGCAGAACTATGGTCACTCAGTCTTGGTTGTGTAGGTACTTTAGTAACTGCTGTGCCAGAAGTTGTATTTGCTAAGGTTCTGGAAGAATCCTCTTTGTCCAATGCAGGCATATTGGTAGAAGTATTTGAATATATCGAGGGCACAACCATGCTGTTCTGGTGTTTTCTGTGAATATCTGCAGCAGCACAGATAGAAAAAAACGTATTGCTCATTTTCTTAAAAAGAGTAAACTATAACGCAGTCATACTCATCTACTGGAGGAAATGAATTTTAGCTGGGGATAGGCCACTTTTATGGTCAAAAGTAGTGCTTTTGAAGACATAAATATTTTCCCCAACCTCCTAAATTAGAAAATCCCCTTTTGGGGGGTCTTGTTTACTGCCATTATTGTCCTATCTGATGCTGCCTCACTACCATTTTTTCCTTAATATTCCTGCTTCATCTTCCATTATTAGTCAGATGGGCAATCTCAACCAGTTGAGTGTCATACATTGGACTGGGTCCAGTGATGTGTGAGCAGAAGGAAAAATATACTTAGCACAGTTCTGCTTGTGCAAGCAATACCACTAGGGCAGTGGTAATACATAGAACCAGAGGTCATTTCGGGGGGAACGTGGGGGAACGCAGTTCCCCTGGGTGAGGTGCAGGGGGCAGGGCACATGATGAAGCCCCGCCCCCTGCTTCCAGCCGCCCCGCTTCCAGCCCTCATTCAGCCAGGAGGAGGCAGGAGAAGAGGGAGGGTAAGTTGCTTCCTCCCCGCCTCTCCCCACCCCTGCCTGCCTGGGGCCAGGGAGGGCCTTGGCGGGGCTTCCTCGCACTCCCGCTGGCCTTGCAGGTCCACCGCCAGGCCCCTGATGTCAGGGGGTGTGGCATATGCTAATGAGTTATGCTAATGAGTCCCCCTAGCTCTTTTTCTACGAAATGACCCCTGCATAGAACCATTATAATATTTAACAAAAAACTACTTGCGTATGGACCAATGGAATTTTGAACAGATGCATTGTATCTTTGTATTTGTTTATGAAATTGTGTCAGAAGAAATAACTCACACAGCTTCTTGCACACAATGAAAATATAGGCATACAAATTCCTTTCACTTAGAACAAGCAAGACAGTAAGGAATAATTTTAGTGCTTCTGCTTGTGCTAAAGGACTGTTACCCATGCAGAAATCTTCTGTGGCATCCAGTTCAGTGAATGGAATATCGTTATCATATATAACTAATCAGAGCTGGTTAGGTGGTGATATTACTGAGTGCAAACAAAGCCAACCAAAAGTGAGGGCAATGGATCAGCCACATGGGTGATCCCAACAGATTGGGAATCACATAGTGAATAGGATAATATGTTATATAGCCAATCAGATTTGGTTATGTGCTAATATCACTAAGCAAACAATCACAGATGGCAATCTTTGCCCAAAAGGTCGGTGTTGTTAATCCCTTTTAAGCCAAAAAGTGGAGAATGGACTTTTCAAAGTTGCCAAATCTGTTCATGAAATGGGCTGCTCCTTTAGCTCAACCCTAGGTTAAATTATTTCTAAAGCATATTTCTCTCAGAATGTAGTTTCTTTTTCTTTGACAATGCAGTGATGTTATACCTTAACAACATTCATAGATTCCACTGAGAGATTTTTCAAAGGAGCACAAATCACAAGGAAATATTAAACTAGAAGTGCATTAAAATGTTATCATATTGAATTATGAGCTCTTCTTAAAATGTGTTAGAGGGCTTAAGTGACTAAGAAATCCTCCTGCTGCCAAGTGCCTTGTTTTGCTACAACACACGACCACTGAAAATATTTAAACATGTGTTTGTATATGAAAATACACACACGTACAACGAATTTCAATAATCTACGCCTTCCATTCAAGCCCCTTCAGAATATTGTACTCACAGTATGTCTCATTCACCTGAACACATTTCCCAGGAAACAATTCCATTTAGTGAAACTTTCTTCCCAGAAAATATATTTTAGGACTTCAGCATAATGGTGGAGTTATAAGGCCATTTCTAAACAAAACCTTTCAGTTATGCATACCCTTTTTGAACTAGATTCCAAGACAATGGTTTGAGATTGTGAACCAACTGATAACTGCAAAAACTACAAAAACCAAGACATCAAAACATGATGGAGACATGATATTATGTTTTATGAGACTAAATTTCACATGGGTACTTGGTATGAAATGCTGTCAGGGCTCACAGTGATTGTGGATGATCTTTTCCGAAAACCAGGTCTAATAGTAAACTGTATAAAGAAGGGTCATGAAAGATGTTCTCATGGATGACAAATGTGTCAGTTTGTGAAAATGTATGGAGGACATTAGGGAACCTGGAATCTCAGAATCAGGTTGGAAAATGAAATTAGAATGTGATTGGAAAACCAGAGAAAGCTGGACTAAACCTAGGATTATAAACAGTAATAATATTGCAAATGCTCCATTATTGGTCAGGTAAGGCTCTATTGCTCTGCTTGTGTGAATTCATAACATGTTATGCCAATTCAGATGTGGCCTTCAAGCCTTTATAAGTGAAATGTATAACTGTTACCAGATCTCTACATGCTACACAGTAATCCCACTCAGAGTATTATTTAATCATTTCAGGCATTTAAAAAAAGTAGGGCTGGATTGAAGTGGGGAAAAATAGTGCAACATTGCCTTCACAGTTTCTCCCAGGTCTCTCAGCATTTACATTGGAAAATCCTTCTTTGCAGCTGCATTCATAAGATCCATAAGTGTTACTGCAAGATGCATTAGGAGAACAATCCGTTTCTTCACTGTCACACTCATCATAATCTGAGAAAGAAAGAAAGAAAGAAAGAAAGAAAGAAAGAAAGAAAGAAAGAAAGAAAGAAAGAAAGAAAGCAGAATTATGCTTTAGTGTCTATAATGAATATTGTTTAGAGGACTGGCAATTACTGGGGGGTTTTCTGGTACTCAGTGCTTTCAAGAAGTTTTCCTACATGTAATACAGTTGTACGATATACAATACCAGTCCTAGCATGCAGATTGCTTGGGGGGACGGGGACGGCATGATGTACACCATTCCCAGCTTTGACCAAAATGTGCCAGTCCTAGGCCATAATCTCAAGAGTTTCATCCCGTTGAACTGGCAGAAGGGATTAAACATTTCCAAGGTGGTGCCAAGGATACACATCAAATGCACGTTTCCTAAAGTTGTAGTATAACAGTACTATCCAATGGTAACCACTCTAACAACTTTTCATGCCGTGCTAACCATGGGTTTTATTGTATGAGATAAATGTTAGCTCAGTTTTTAAAACAAAACAAAAAACTACAGGGCCTGTTTGTTTATCAGCTTTGCAGATGCTCTTCTTTCAGAACGCCAGTTCAGCTCTATCATTTCACAGGGCTTAAAAAATGAGAGCAATATAATGAGAGATGGTCCATGCTTCTGTAACCTCACAGCTGGATTACTACAACATATTACACATGGGTCTGTTTTTGAAGACAACTCAGAAACTACAACTGGTCCAGAATGCTGCAACCCAACTATTGTAAGGGACTAGCTGCTGGGAATATATGTTGCCTATTTTGAAACACCTACATTGGCTGCCAGTCTGTTTCCAAGTTCAATTCAAGGTGCTGGTGATGACCTTTAAAGCCCTTCACAAACTGGCACCCACATATTTGAAGGATAGTCCACATGTTCCTGTGCACCAGCTATGGTCATCAGGTAGCCATCGGTTGGCTATCCCTCCACTTAGAGTGGCCCATCTGGAACAAACAAGAGCTTAGCCTTCTCTACCATGGCTTCTGCTATGTAAAATGTGCTCCCTGGTGAGCCCCCCCCCCTTGCTTGGAGATCTTCAGGAGGTGCTGCAAGGCCTGTTTTTTTGCCAGGGTTTTTGAGGAGGTTTGAATGGCAGCAATCTTTTAAGGGGGGGAGATTTGGGGCTTGTTGTTTTATTTTGGTTTTTAACTGGAAATGTTTTAAATTATGGTTATAAACCACCTTAAACTACAAGGAAAGGCAGAGTATAAATGTTTAAATAAATAAGCATAACTTACCATGTATGGAGAGACTGCTGTTGTCAATTATGAAACAGTGGCTGTGTTGAAAAGCATCAAGAAAAGATCTAGAAACATTGCTTGCATCCATGTTTGTTGCTACCAGGAGATCAAAATGCACAACTATGCTTCCATTAGAAACACTTGTTATCAACAGTTTAATTGCCCCAGCGTCCATTTGTTGAAGAATATAAAGGGGCAGATGGGTGTGAACCTGTTATTAAAGCAAAATGTGTATAAATATGTGTATGGTTGTTTTGGCCTGCTTCCCCATATAGCCTTCATGGGCCCACCCCCTGCCCCCTTGCTGTGACTCCCAGCCTGATGAGGCAGGCCATGCAAACTACCCTGGCCCCCCCACCCAACCCTGCTGGAAGGTTCAACATGGCCGGGCCTGCCTACATCTGACCTCCCCTGCCTCCTGCACTGCAATGCTGGTGGAGGTAAGTCTCAGTTGTGCTTCTTTTAGTTGATTCACAGTGAGTAAATAATTCAACACATGAAACACTGGGACTTGCTTTATACTTGCACCAAAGGTTACAGAAAATCATCCTGCATCAGGCAAATAAGAAAATAACCTGCAATTCTTTTTGCAGGGCCCTTTGAAATGTCTGGAGTAGGGAAATTATTATTTTTACTTAAAACCAAATCAGAGAGAGGTAGGAACAGAACACTGAAATGAAGAGCTTGAAGGCTGTTTCTTATAGGCATGAACATCCCTTTATACCTCATCACTTGATGACTCTCAGCTGAATGTGTGAACTTGCTCTGTTGAAAAAAATGATGTTTCGAGTAGGGGTATGCAAAACAAAACAAAAAAAAACCTTGGTATTTTTGGGTTCTGGTATATTGAATCCAAAAAATATTGGTATTTCCCAATATTCCTGAATCCCAGTACTGGTAAGGTATTTGGATTTGGGAAACCCAATTTTTTCCAGTTCCATTATACCCTGTGGGGACCATTATAATCAATGGTCCCCATAGGACATAAATAGAGAATTGATCCGGGGATATCTGGAGTTTTGGGGGCTATTTTTGAGGTAGAGGCTCCAAATTTGCAGCATAGGTTCTGGTGCCTCTCCTCAACCCTCCCCCAAGTTAAAAATAGATTGGACAGGGGGTCCAATTCTATGGGCCCATCCTCCATTGATTTAAATGGAATAAATAAGGCACTTAAAAAGATTGTGGTCCCTTTAGATGCCTTCTCCAAGCCACCCGACTCCATGGATTGGATAACTCCAAAGTCACTGTGAGTTCACCCAGGTGTTTAAAGGGACTGCAAGACCTTTAAATGCCTTTGGAGTTCTTCAAGCCACGGAGTCACACGGCTTGGAGAAGGCATTTAAAGGGACTGTGCACCCTTTAAATGACCTTTGTTCATCTATCCAGCGGTCCCAACAATCCCAAATAGTTTTAGGACTTTCTGAGCTTGGCCATTTCAGATAGATGAACAATATCAGAAATCACTATCTGGCTGAATCAACACCCAAAAAAACCTGATAAAGTATTTTCCAGGAATTTTTTCAGCTTGGATTTAGCTGAGTGCACATCCCTAGTTTCCAGAGATGTGAGGATAAACAAAAATTATATTTCTGCCATTTGATTTTCCAGTTTCAAACCAAGACTTCATCTGATGATAGTGCACATGTGAATTCACCCTCTGTACTTGCCACAGTTTATGCAGATGTTTAAGTCCCATATTCAAAATTAGACTGAACACATGAAAATGTACAGTAACATCCATTAAACAGTATTGTAGGCTTATTGTCTGATTGAGAATGGATCTCTCACTATGGTTTGCTTACACTGACACCATAAGGGAAGTCAGGGCCTTTGACAAAAGGATTTTCATGTTATTTAATGGCAGTAGACCTTTATCAACAGGATTGTTAGGAGATGAGTTGCTGAAAAGACCTGGTCCTGAATGAGGACTGCTTTAGAGGGTGGACTCTACAGCATTGTACCCCACTGAAGTCTCTGCCCTCTCCAAACTCTACCATTTCCAGAATCTTCAGGTATTTCCCAACCCAGAGCTGGCAACCCTAATTCCAGTGCTTGTCGGTCAACTGCCAAGATAACCAGGAATAAGTCAAGTGTATGGAAAAGCCCTAAGAGCAAGCTGTGAGTTGCCTGAAGGTGAACTGTCTTAGGGCACAAGGTCTCGTATGCTGGGGTATTGATATGGGTTAGTGGATCTGCTGGCTTTCAGAAAAAGGCCTCTTTCTCATACCATTATTCAGTGTTTTCTCCTCTGAAGGAATCCAGATCTGAGAAGCACTGTCTCTGGATCTGTTCAAATATTGGTCATGTCCGTCTTGTATAACGCTGAATCTTTGCATTACCTTACCTCAGTGAGAAACAGATGTGTAAAATTTCGGTACTCTTCACTACTTGAATTGCTGAACCCTGAACTATAGTTCAGATTTGTTATCCTGACTGTTCCACTAAATTTCTGGGCAGCTGCAGGATTGAAAAAGCAACATTAGTTGGAAGTCAGACTGCAGTCCGGTCAAAGTTTTCAGATGCTTGTTGTTTCTAAATCCTTGAATGGGAAAATAGGATTTAAAAGCATATTCAAGTAATGGGGGGGGAGTTGTGTCAAATCTGGTATAAATGCTGTTCGAATCAGGGTGTTCTGAATTCATGGCTGAAGAAGCTGTCTATAAATGTGGTGGGTTTCCCAGTTCATATTCCATTCTAATTGCCTTTGTGAGTAAGAAGCCTGGAGAATCACTGACATGCTGAGTGCCAAAACTGGGCTTAGGTTTCTAAACTTTTGTCCATACATAACAACAACCACACAACCCCCCCTGACCTTTCTATCATGGGCAAGGCAAAATGAGCTTCTAAAATTTTACCTGTCTTTATTTTCCACTGTGCTGGTTTACTGTTCTTTTCACAAACCTCTGTCTCTATTTTAACAGTATACAGGACCCCCAGTTCCAGTCCAGAAACAGTCAGGTTGCTGCTCCGGGTCCTAACCTTCTGTATAAGCTTTTCTCCATCAAGCAGCAGAAACTGGAAATCAGGATTCTGTGTATAGTTTGTAGACCAGACAACGTGAAAGCCAGTACTGGTGACATTGGAAAAAACAGTCCTTTCAACTGGAAGAGGCCCTAAGAAGAAGAGAAAGGACAATTATACCTTTAAAAAAGAGGCAAACAAATAATTACCTTTCCAAAGGATCATGCCACAACAATTCTAACTCTCACAGAATGCCTTTACCATTAAATTATAGACCAGTGAAAATGAAGAGCATGTGAGAAAGAACTCTCCAGTAAATTTTAAATTATGTTCACAGAAGATCAGCTGTTTAAATATATGGCAGCTACAGGCAAAACTAATATGTTTAATAAAAGCATCTACTTTCGGTGTGAAAAAAGCATGAACTTCTAAACCTAACAAACTATATTGAAAGCCTGCAAATCTTGTATTTATACAGTGTACAAACAGAGAACTTGGTTTATGGGGGGCAGTTTTCCTAATTCTTGATCCTCCCTCATGATGCCTTGAAGGTCCCCCACCTTATGTTAATATATTTCCCAACAAAGACCTCCAGAGTTACAGAGGGATTCACTCCCTTAAAAACCTTAAACTTCCATCTCATCCCAGAAGATAATACTTTTTTGTCTCCTGAAAACTATAAAGCAGTAATAACAGTTATCTGATTAATTCATTTATATGGATTATACTGTATGAACATATGTTTTGTGCATATACAAATACTGCCTTGGATCACCTAGAAGATTTCCACATACACTAGGGTCCTTGGTGGCTTTATGTTGGAAAAGGCAATGCCTGGTATACAGGGGTCATTTCGTAGAAAAAGAGCTAGGGGAACTCATTAGCATGACTCATTAGCATATGCCACACCCCCTGACATCAGGGGCCTGGCGGTGGACCTGCAAGGCCGGTGGGAGTGTGAGGAAGCCCCGCCAAGGCCCTCCCTGGCCCCAGGCAGGCAGGGGTGGGGAGAGGCGGGGAGGAAGCAACTTACCCTCCCTCTTCTCCTGCCTCCTCCTGGCTGAATGAGGGCTGGAAGCGGGGCAGCCGGAAGCAGGGGGCGGAGCTTCATCATGTGTCCCGCCCCCTGCACCTCACCCGGGGGAACACGTTCCCCCCCAAAATGACCTCTGCTGGTATACAAAAAAGAAGAGAAGACCCTGCAGGGTGGCAGCAAGAAGACAATTAGATAAGATAGTGAGGTCAGCACCTTCTCTCTTGTTAAATGTCATTCCTTTTCTGTTTCCAGATTGCTGCTCTTAGGGGAATTTCCCCCTTCTTCTCAGAACTGCCACACTTAGTCTTACCCTCGCTTTCAGCTAGAGATGTAGTTAGGAACCTGTCTCTGTTTCTCCTTTTTCCTATCAAGTATGCTAATTCCTAAATAACCCTTTTTCTACTCTTTAATCAGGTTGTGCACCATTGCTGTGTTAATTACTCTGCCAACAGGGGTTATGGTAGCCCAAATTAAGCTCATCTCTGATTAAAGGTAGAAAGATCACCAGAGGCTCTTGGCACAAAGAGGTGAGAACAAAGGAACAATGATGGCAACCATCCTGTGGTGCACAGCATGGTCACTGGATAGATAGGCTCACAGAGAATAATTATCTAATTTGGAGAGAATGAATGAAGAGTCGCCTTCTTGAAACAGGATTATGAGACATTATCTAGGATGCCTGATGAGGAGAGGATGACCCAGCAAAGCAGAGAACCTGGGACTCCAATAATGAAAAGGCAAGTGGGCCCATAATCAAGGGTTTAACTAACAGAAATGTGTGAAGAGTAATACAGCCAACAGCCAAAACTGTGTGGTGTGAGCTGGAAAGGCTGTATGTAAATTCCTTTATCTATAAAAGAAACTTTTCAGTACTAAGATGAAAGAGGGGGTAATTTATATCATCATCTAGATGAGATTCTTGGATTGGCTGGGCAATTGAGAAGTGCAGGAAAGGAAACTGTTGATCAAGATCTGATTGTGTTACTATTAATAAGCCTGGCAGAGTCATATGAAAGTATAGTGTCTGAGACTGAATCTAAGAGTAATCAGTCCCTCACAGAAGTTATAAATCAGCTTGAAGAAACATACAAACACAGACAATTTGAAAACTCTGACAAAGAATTTAAACCAAATGCTGATCAGATGACTTTGAATGTAAATAATCAAAGGTGGGATCGCTTGTCACCTCTGTGGAAAGCCAGGCCACATTAAGAGGAATTGCATTGCCTTTAAACAAAGAAATGCCTTTCCCAGAGAAAGAAATGTGGGAAACTCCAAACTGCTGCCATTAAAGAAATGTTTCATATTAACACAAGGAGCCACAAAAAGTCATATTTGGTATTTGGACAGTGCCTGAATGACCCAAATGTGTGCTCATAAAGACTTCTTTGAAAAGTTAGATGAAGAAAAGAAAGAGACATTAAGCGTTGCAGATGGATGGTCTACAGTGGCTCAGGAACCATAAAATGCAAATTCCCGACCCTAGCGGAGAGAGCCAAGACATCCTTGTTAAAGACTTTATGTCCCAGAACTGGCAAATAATCCTATTTCTGTGAGAGTACTAGCGAAGAAAGCCTTCGACAACATAAAGGCATGGTTATATATTTTGGAGAAAAATGCTATACAGACAGAGGGGACAGTTAACTGCAACTGACAAAGTACATCAGGATTTATATGCTCAAGACTAGCTTGCAGAAAGCAAACTTTACCAAACACTATGATCACAAGAATTGCTCCTGGCTATGGCACAGATGGTTGGGACACAGAGACAATTATGCAATTAGCCAACTTGAAAGCCAGAATTTAACTAAAGACATGCAGAAGAGCAAATGTGCCACTGAAGGGAAATGTGTGCATTGCATTCAAGCAAAGGGGGTGAGACCTAGCTTTAACAAAAGGTATGAGACAAGCCAGATGCACTGACCCCTAGAGCTGATACACAGTGATGTTTGTGGACCAATGAAAACTCAAACCCCTTGTGGAAATAAATATGTGCTGACTTTTATTGATTACTTTTCAAGATATAGTGTGACCTACCTAATTAAAGAGAAAAGTCAAGTGCTAGCAAAATTTAAAACATATGTGGCAATGATTAGTAACAGATTTCAAAGAAAGCCACTAGCACTTCTCACTGATAATGGAGGAGAATATGTGGGACATGAAATGAAGAATTATTTGGCTAAACAAGGAACAGAGCATCAGCTTACAGTCCCATACACTCTAGAGCAGAATAGAGGGAAAAAACATTCTCTCACTGAAATGTGCAGATGTATGCTCCTTGAGGCAGAGCTACCTGACAAGTTCTGAGGAGAAACAATCAACATTGCTACCTTTGTTTTGATCAATAAAGTCTTTTTAACTTAAAAAAACACTGCCAGCAAAACAGATTACCTACTAAAGGTGCCAGCAGTACACCATTTGATCTGTGGTATGGGCACAACCCCAGCCTGAATCACTTTAAAGTGTTTAGATCAAAGACCTACACGTATTTTCCTAAAGAAAAGCAGACCAAGATGGATCTTAGAGCAGAAGAAGGCATTTTTGTAGGCTACGCACTGGGATGCAAAGGATACACTATCCTCAACCCAGAAACAGAAACCGTCAAGACCTGCAATGTGGTCTACATTGATGAAAAGGAGAAATCAATGTAATTACGAAATATGGAGAACGTAGGCGTCAGTGAATCTACACCAACACAGAAAAATGAAGCATAGCAAATAGAAACAGTGCATCTGAGCACTATGGACAACACATATGACACACCTGCAAAGCCTAAAGATCCAGAAGGGGCTGTGGAGCCAAGTGTGAGATGATCAACCAGATCAAACAAAGGAGTACCACCAAGAAGACTTTCTTATCTAGCAACGGCAGAAGCTATACCTGAGCCTTCCACATGGGAAGACATAGCAAGAAATCCTGCAGAAGAAGCAGAAACATGGAGAAAAGCCACTTCAATAAGAGTGTTCCTGAGCATAGCAGCAGCAAGAAAGATGCAAGTGGACCATCTGGACATAAAGACTGCTTTTCTATATGGAGAAATAAAGGAAGATGTTTATATGGAACAGCCACCAGGTTGTGAACAATCCAAAGACAAGTAACTCGTGTGTAAACTGCAAAACAGCATATATGGATTGAAACAGGCTGAGAGATGTTGGAACAAGAAACGTCATCAAATGCTAACCAAGGAAGGATTTGAGCAAGGTAAGGCAGAACGATGCCTATAAAGATATAGAGACAACAAATGGACATACATTCTGACATATGTGGATGACCTGATTTTATGCAATGAAGACAAGCAGGACTGTGATGAAATAGTTCAACAGCTGAATCAAGAAGTAGAAGTGAAAGAATTTGGAAACATCAACTATTATCTTGGAATACAAATATAATGAGAGGAAGATGGAAGCTATCTTCTCAACCAAAAGCAGAAAATCCTAGAACTTCTCGACTACATACATGAATATGAAAGGAGCTAAGCCAGCAAAAACACTCCTATGGAAACAAACTACTACCTGAAACAGCAAGGAAGTAGTGAACTTCTGCCTGGCAACAAGCAATACAGGGAAGCAATTGGAAGACTGCTGTACGTAAGCACATTGACACGTCCAGATATTACAGCAGTTGTGGGCATGTTATGCAGAAAGACAGAATCACCAAGCAAAAGGGACTGGAATGCAGTCAAAAGACTTGCAAAGTACCTGCATGGCACTGCACATCTGATACTAAAGTTACCAACAAGTGACAATCCCAGACTAGTGGGATACATGGATGCAGACTGGGCAGGAGATACTACAGACAGAAAGTCAGTCAGTGGATATTTATTCTGAGGTCGTGGAGCAGTCAGCTGGATCAGCAGGTAGCAAGAAACTATAGCTGTGCCCTCAACTGAAGTTGAGTATGTATCCTCAGCAGAAGCATGCAGACAACTAAAATGGATACTGCAATTAATGCACAACTTTGGTGTAGAGAAACCCAATCCAGTACAACTCTTTGAAGACAACCAACGGGAGATAAAACTTGCACAGACAGAGAAGATCAACTCAAGAACTAAACACATGGATGTGAAGCATCACCTAGTAGGAAATATGCAAGAAGAAGGGCTTGTTGAGTTTGAATACTGTCTAGGGATGGGCACGAACCCACAAATGAACCCCGGTTTGTGGTTCCCGAACCAGGGGTTCAGGAGAACATGCCTCTCACGATCTACCCATGAATCTCCATGGAGTTTCATGAGGTTTGGGGAGGGTTTGTGCAGGCTCCAAAGGCATTTAAATACCTTCAGAGCCCGACCAGAAGTGAGATCCGAAGGCATTTAAATGTCGTCAGAGCCCACCACTGGCCATGTGGCCTGACCAGAGTTACTTCAAATGCCTTCAGAGCCCACCTCCAGGTCGGACCAGCCCAACTGTGCTTCAAGAGTGAGCTCCAAAGGCCTTTATAGGGGTGTTGAGAAAAGGAAATGTCTGGTGTACAAAGAAGAAGACCCTGCAGGGGGCAGCAGGAAGGCAATTAGATAGGATAGTGAGGGCTGCACCTTTTTTCGCTTGTTCAGTGTAATTCCTTGTCTGTCTCCAGATTGCTACTCTTAGAGCAATTACTCCCTTCTTCTCAGAAGTACCACACTCAGTCTTACCCTCTCAGCTAGAGATGTAGTTAGGAACCTATCTCTGTCCTCTTTCTTATCAAATATGTTAATTCCCTCAATGTGCCCAAGCAGTACCCATATCTCTTTATGTCATAAAGCATTAAGTAGATACTTTCAGGGGATTACAGTTGTATAGTGATTGTATCTCTTTTGGATATGAAAACACTTTATTCTGTAATTGTTGAATTTCTAGTTTTCTGTATTGGATTTGTATATTGCTTACTGAAAATAAAATAAAAATTATAAATTAAAAAAAAAAGTTAATTCCTAAATAAACCTTTATCTACTCTTTAATCAAGTTATGCACCATTGCTGTGTTAATTACTCTGCCAAGACATTAAACATAGCATATCCCATGCCACTTTTCCACTTGGACAACAAACTGTGCATACAATTTCTGGGCACTGTAAGATATAGGAAGGAGAGCGCTAGATGTTGCAGAAGATCTTGCACAAGCAGAACTGTGCTGAGTCTGTTTACATTTCTGTTCACACATTGCTGGATCCAAGCCATTAGCCTTTTCCTTCTCCCAAATAAAGTAATACAAAAGACTTGTATTCTATGCAGTTCACTCCTATCATGTTTTTTGTTCTTGTTGCTTAGAAGCAGAAGATTAAAGACAATACGCATATCTATGTCAATTTAAGCAGTGGGGAGAAATAATTTTTTTAAAAGCAGGATTTTATGCATAGCATTTTTTGTGGGGGGTTCCTCCTGTCTTTGGGCCCCACACTCAAGCTCTGGCCCTTCAGTTATTTTGGAACACATGCATTCTGATGCCAAATCTTGTCTGCATGCAGTACATCCATGTTATAAATCTGGGAACAATTGGGTGAAATCAAGAGAAAAGGGGCGTGATTAAATCCTTAATCGTGCCCTTAGATTTTATTGATTTGAACGGGTCTTAAGTATACTCTGGCTTACTCCCATTCCTTTGTATTTATATGTTTCACAATCCCTGTGCCTTTTTGTCCATACTAGCTAATGGCTTATGAGCAAATTTCTGGGATAAAATCATACTCACCACTACAGTTTGTGGCTGGGGAGCCAATTGTGGTAGAAGATGGTGACGGCTCCTCGGAAGAAGCTGGCAACAATGAACGTGATTTTTTCTCTGATGAAGAGCTGTTGCCTGTTCCCATTTTCTTCTCAATTGTATGATTCAGAAGTGTAGGGTGTTCTGTAACATACCGGGCTGAAGTTGGAATTTTCCAAGTATTTCCTTCAGGTAAGAGACCAGATGTGCTTGTCTCTCCTAATGACTCATTGCCTTGAGCATAAACTGTGATATTTGATTCTGCGGGCAATATTGACAAAGAAGAGCCATGCTGGTCTTGAGTAGTTGATCTCTGTTCAGCTAAGTTTTCACTTGGTGTAGTTATGCTCGCCCACTTCTCTGTTACCTGAGGTGGTGTTTCAGAGATGCTCAGAGTGCTATTACTTCTGTCAGACTCAGAAGCGTTGACATTCTGTGATGCTGGTACCATTTTGTCTGTTGTAGAGGTGTTTGACTCTTGAGCGCCACTTGATCGCAGTACAAGAGGTAAAGCAGTTGCCTTATTGTGCTTAGAAGTCAACGTCCTTATTTCTGCTTCATATAGAGAACTGACACTTGTCACAGGCAGTCCTTCAGATTCAAATATAGGTATCCTTTCTGAAACAGGATCTACGATTTCACCTGGAGTACAGCACCATTGAATATAACAAACAGAAATTTTAAAATGTATTAGATTGTTAATATTCACTGTGCACACGGTTATTGTTACTGGTGCCAGTCTGGTACAGCAGTTAGAGTGTAAGACTAGGATCTGGGAGATCCAGGTTTGAATCCCCACTCTGCTATGGAAGCTTGCTGGGTGACTGTGGGCCAGTAACAGACTAACCACCTCACAGCACTGTTGTGAGGAGAAAATGGAGGAGAGGATAATGATGAGCTACTTTTGGTCCCCAATGAGGAGAAAGGTGGGCTATAAATGAAGGAAATAAATGGAATTTTATCAACAAGAACCAATAATATTTAATAAAATAATAAATAAGAATCAATAATAAATATGAACAAAAACCCACCAGTTCATGGCAAAAAAGGCCCTCTACTGAAATATAAGTCTGCTTGTTACCTTCACAGTTCCTCCCAGGTCGGGTGGGATTGGCATCTGTGGTTGTCCTGCATCTGCACACATACGAGCCTATTGTATTGATACATTCTGCAAAAACACAGCAGTCATTTTCTGTCCTATGAGCACATTCATCCCAGTCTGTAAAAAAAGTATTCCCAGATTCAGTAAAACAAATTTTTGCAGAGCCAAACTCAACTTTACACGGAAGATAAGATCTTCTCACATTTTATTCAGTATTAAAAACCAACCAATGGGGGAGCATGATATTGATTGTGCATGAAGCTTGGAGAAACAGAGATTTTTAACCTTCACCCTACCCCACTCTGGCAAGGTTTCCCTAACAAAAATCACTCTCCAGCTTAGCCTCAAGGCCCCGTCTTTTTTGTTGTTGTTAATAACAGCTGATGAGATCATCCGTCACATAAACTTTGCCTTCCCACAGTGACATGGCCTTGGTTCCAATTGCCATTCAACCCTTCTAGTGTTACAGAATCAAGAGATCAGATCATATACCTTTCATTTAACATGAAGTTTGGCTCACCGTTTACGTAGAGCTATAACTATAAAGAAATATATTTGGGTAGTTGATTATTTATGCAGCACCACCAGTATTCATGGTGCTTTACCAAGTACAAAAGGACCCTGACCTGAGGAGATTACACTTTAAAAATTGAGAAAAAGGACAGACCAAATGGAGGTGGACAGATACAAACCTGGGACAGTGTTGCCAAATCCAAGTTTGGAAATTCTTGGAGATTTGGGGGAGGATCTTGGAGAGAGCAGGATTTGGAGATTTAGGGAGGGGAGGGATCTCAGCAGGTTATAATGCCACAGAGTCCACCCTCCAAAGCAGCCATTTTCTCAAGGTGAACTGATCTCTGTTGTCTGGAGATGAGCTGTAATGCCAAGAGATCTCCAAGCCTCACCTGGAGGTTGGCAACCCTAGCATTTATACCAATTATATGTATTTAAACTTATGCTAGAATAAATTTCATTAGACTCTATGGTGCTACTACAATCCTGTTTTATTTTAATGTTTATAAACAGTTTCAGTCGCAAATGAGAACCAAGGGTTTGTAATGAAGCTTCTCAGAAATGGTGTGCTTTTAAGAGAGAGTGGCTATCCTTTCTAGTGTTGTTTGTTTATGTGTTTTTAACTGAATTATTTTGTAATTTTAATTGTATTTTTAATTCCCCAAGTGTTTTATTGCTTTTTCTGATCACTGCCTTTTGGACCCTGATTAGATGGAAAGGTGACATAAAAATGCTTCAAATAAAATAAATAAATACATTTGAGGGAAATTGCATCATGCAGGTGTTTGGGGAGGAAGTTCCAGGCATAAGAGGCAGTAAGCAAGAAAAGGTGAGTCATTTGAGGAAACAAAAGACCTGCAGATGGCTGAGAGTGGTGGCACTGGAGGCACAAAGCTTTGATGGTTTGGCATTCTATGGTTTGCCACAAAGTGGGGGGGGGGAGAACTATTTGGATTACCGTATCATAAGAGATGGGGCGGGATGGATCGTGCAAGCAATCTAAGGTTTATATATGACTATGTAAGATCCATGTATTATGCAACTTGATATGCTGCCTCTGTGGTATATCTGTGTGGCTAAGTCAGGATTAGGGATGCCAACCTCCAGGTTGAACCTGGGGATACCCCAGAATTACAGCTCCAGACTACTGAGATCATTTCCTCTGGATAAAATTGATGATTTGGAGGGTGGCATCCTACCCCACTGAGGTCCCTGTGTCTTCCCCAGGCTCCCTCCCCAAATCTGCAGAGGTTTCTCAACCTGGATCTGGCCACCCTACCCTTCATCCCCAGCTGGTGGCCGGGGGGGGGGGCTGGCAACCCTAATTAGAGAGGATTCTTAGGGTTCTTCCTGCCCTTTCCAAATTAGAAATGCATTGCTAGGTTCTATGTTCCATTACTTCAAATAAGATCACTCTTGCACAAATCTTTAGGATCTCAGCTCCTAATATCTGAACAAGCACAAAAAGCAGGTCTGAAATGTGGTAGATGTGGTTCTGTTTCCTCACCTACATAGGTCTGCAGCTGCTATTGTTTGAAATGTAATACATGTACATCCATAATATGGGTCCCCAATATAACGAGGAAATGTAGAAATAGTACCTGTGGTGTGGCTGTATAGGAAGGGGAACAAAACTAGGTACAACAGTAGGAAGGGATGAATAATGATGGGAAAGTGGTGGGTGGGGAGGGTGGTCCCTCACAAAACCTTGAGACCTTCAGAAGTGGGTTTTGGGAAGCACAGAGGCTACAGCAGGAGATGCAGGAGTTGGAGTAAGATCTACTTTTCACTCAGGGTTCTTAAGATCTAACACAGTAAAAAGTATACAAAATTTATGTGATTTTCCTCTGCATGATGTTCACATAACTCTTACAACTTAGTTATCAAATTAAATAGCCTACCTTCCACGATGGAGCTCTGTGGGTCAACCTGAAGCACTGAACTTTTGTGCACTGATGAAATCATCTGGTCAAACGCAGACAAGTCTTTTGGAAACTGTGGGTCTTCTATTATCATTTTAAGCTTCACAATAACACTTCCAGCTTTAATAGAGTCCATTTGCACTTTCAGTTTCCCCATCTTGTACAATGCAAGCAGATTTGAAGGAAATGATTTTTCAATCTGAAAACAAATGAGATAAATAGTGCTATTCTAGCATCAAGTAGACATGCATTGTATTTAATTCTCCTTGACCTGTCTTCATTTTCATATTCATAAAAAGCAATATTAGCCCTACCCATACCAATGAACATGTACGAATATGCACTTTAAATTTTATTTTTGTTTCATATGTTGACATTGTGAACCTTTTCATTTCTCCCATTTTGTTGCCAGTGTTCCTGATTTGTTTGTTTTCTTATGTGATATTTTTACACTACTAACATATAACAGACACCAGTTATAACAGTAATACCAATAGTATGGTCAGTAACAAAAACAATTGCAAGTCCTGAGCAAAGACAATACTTTTCAGAAGCTAGGCTTTTCAATGTGAAAAGCGTGTTCACAAAATGTGGTGACATCCCTAAAATAGAATAATTGTTAGGTATGCTCAAGCAGTCTGGCACTTGCATTAATTCAGCTGTGTCTACCTTGTTTAGTAGGAATAGGGCATCAATTAATAATGAATTAAAAATGAACTCAGTAAAAGCATTCTACTTCATAATGTGCCTCTTTCCATGTGATTACCTTTCACAAATATGGTACATGAAGTCCACAGATGTCATCACCATTAATGTTATCAGAGAGTTATCCTGACAGGATAAATGAAATTCCATATGGCACAGACAGAAGCCAAGATGAAATGATGCACTTGGCTCTAAAATAATGTGCTTCTAAGTTCTGCATAACAACACGTTTTTACTTTTTGTAATATTATCTGATGCAGCACTTCATCGATTGCATGGGGCTTCCAAAACACACAGGGAGCTCACCTGCCCAATCAGCTTGCCAATTTTTCAAACAATCACAGTAGCTGTGCCTTTAACAGTGGCCTGATATGGACAAGTAAGAATGTCCCATGTTGTAAAAAGCCTCAGCTGCTGATGCTTGCACATCAGGCTGTTGGTAGAGGCACAATAGAGGCCAGAGCCATTGCCAAGGGTTTCTGCTTCTGATTTAATGGATGTAGCAGATCTGCAAATCTAATAGGGAAAACCTACACACGCAGGAACTGTGTGCCAGCACACCTGTTTTAAAAGCTGAGCTCTCATCTATAGTAAGGGCAAAAAATGAAAGTTGCTTTTTGAAACTTCTTAGGACAATTTGCTATTCAGTAAGATGGTTTATTAAGAATTGATCCATGAGAAACTGCTGCATCATGTAGAACTTAACCCATGGTTTCAAATGGGTAAATATTTTAGCATTACCTCTGTCATAAAAATGCTGAAGAATCTCTGATATTCTTTGGTGCTAGTGTTTAAGAACTGCTCTGTGAAGTTATAGTTCAGGATCCTTATTGTAACACCAAATAACAAGGCATCTAAAAGGCACAATATTAAAAGCATGATACAATGCATCAAATGTGATATCATTACAGTAGGTTATCAAGCTATATGATGAGAGAAATCTAACCATTAAGATAAAAGAAGTCAGATGTAAATCTGTGTTTCTTCCTTAAAGGGAGTTGAAAGAAGATGCTATTATACAGCTAAAGGCCTTATCACACATATGAACATGGTATTTGGGACAATCTGGTGTAGTAGGATCAATTAAATCCAAATTAGGGAGTTATCCTATATAGGGATAATATCACCTAGTCCACAAAAAGTTTAAATAGAACATTTGCATCCAACTGTTTACTAAATGCCAAACCAGTAAGGTCATTGATAGTAAAACATGACTGAGGTGGGTTGAGGGGACATGGATGCCTGTTAAAGGGAGGATAGCACTTGTAAGATGATAGGTACCAGTCTTCAATCTTCTATGTGATGCAATGGTTTTGCCACAAGCTTCATAGCTGATATTCACAGTGTAGATTGTGCCTGCTTGCAGTCCAAACACATCCAGTGTCATATTGGTGGTTTCCATTTCTTGAATCAACTCTTTGCCTTTGTACACCTCTATTTGGAATGTATGGTTCAGCAAAGGCTCTACGCTCCAAGATACTTCAAAACTGCTGCTAGTAACACCGAAGATCTTGTGTTCCATAATGGCAGAAGGATCTGCAATAGCATACACAAGAGACTTATCACAATGGAAAAGGACATTTACTTAAAGGAATAGTATGAGATCTACCATGCATTTAGCCAGATAAAATGTCCTTTTGATAACAAAGTTTATTCTCTATTATATTAATCCTATGTATTCATGCTTTCACATTTTAGCATGTCCAGTCTCAGACGCACTGAGCAGGTTACACTCAACCTTTCCCTTAAAACCGTATACACTTTAGAATTAAGTAGTACATGAGTTAAATCATTAATTTTCATTTTATACTATTATTTTTCATTTTGCTTTATCAACAGTTCTCTATGCAATACAAGCCTCCCTAAGGAGGCACAGACTAGGGGAGACCTGAGATCCTCCATCGTAATTGCTTATTTTAACTATTTTACAGCATTTATGGTCCACCTTTCTTAAAAAGAATCAAGGAAGATCAGAAGTGTGTTATCCAGTCCTTAACTGCCTTAACCCCAACCCAGAGGATCACATGTTCTCCTTCGTATGTTTTTGGCCATGTGGAGCTGTCCTTGAAGACTATCTGCTAGCTGCAGTTGGTACAGAATGCTGCACCCAGAATATTGACTGGAGTGATTTGTAGAAACCATATTACTCTAGGTCTTGTTCCAGCTACAATGGAACATTTGCTTCTGGGCCTAATTTAGGTTGCTTTTAAAGCCCTATGCCACTTGGGGCGTGCATAACTTAAGAACTGCCTTCTCCCACAGGAACCTGCCTGTCCAATCATCTTTGGAGATCCTGCTTTGGGTGCCACCAGCATCTGTGGCTAGATGGGTAACAACCCAAGAAAGGGCCTTCTTGATCATAGCACCAAAACTTTGGAACTCCCTCTGCAGGGAGATTTGTCTGTCTCCCTCTATCATTGCCTTTTCCTAGCAGATGAACACATTTTTGTTTTGCTTGGCATATCCCCAATAATTGTTCTTGGGCCTCCTCCTTGGTTGTGGTATGCTATCATTGAATTATTTTTATATATACTTAATTTTCAAATGCTGTTTTAATGTCAAAATGTTTTAATGTTATGTAATTTGCCACCTTGGGTTCTAGGGAGGCACAGAATGATTTTAAATAAAATAAATGAAATTAAATCTGGAACCCAAGGAAACTGTCCCATTCAATTCAATGGCATGGCAGACTTGCACACATAATGGTGGGTATGTAAAACTGCCCTTGCATTTTATTTACGTGTTTAAAATGTTTTATATGACTACCTCTCTACTGAGCATTTCAGGACCCAAGATTGCATAAAGATAATTTGATTGACCAATTATTAAACCAATAGGTATAAAAAAATTTTAAAAAAAAATCTAAAAAGACCCCCACCAGTCGCATATTCCCCCTTTGCCCATGCTCAGGCTGGCCTAAAAGCTCTCTGGAATGGCTCTGTTTTGCAGCCTCACCAGAAATGTAGGAGGGTGTTCCTGAGGCATGGGGAAGCCATTGAAAAGGCTTGACCCTGAAGTGTTGCTGAATTGGCCTTAGACAATGGATGAACTGATGACAGTCCCTGCTGGAAAGAAACTCCTGCACAGGAACATGGAGGTCCTTCAAGTATGTGGGTTCCAGGTCATGAAGGACTTTAAAGGTGAGCACCAATGCCTTGCACTGGACCCAGAAACTAGTCATCCTCAGGTTGAATGTAACTTAATGGGGCCTCAGAATAAGAGAGACATGTTCCTGCTGGCTAGCCCAAGATACAAATAGGCAGCTGCATCTATATATCTAATAGCCAAGTTGCCCCCGGAGTGCAGATAGCTAAATCAGCGCTCCGGGGGCAGCTGGGGGGCCGGGGGAGGTTTGTGCACACGTGGGCCAGTCCCCACGTGTGCACAAAAATCCTAAAAGTAGAAAAAAATTGGGGGGGATGTTTAAATTGGTGGCCGGGGGGGGAGGCCCAGCCTCGCCGCCACCGCTGAGCCCGGCAAAGGGGAGGAAAAGGACCGGCCTCTCTGCCGCCGCCTCTGCCTCGGAGCCGGGCGGGGGGGGAGGACCGGCCTCGCCGCCGCTGCCTTCTCGGGGAGATGGGGGGAATGGAGGAGACGGAGCTCTTCTCCCCCCCCCCGCGAGTATCACAGGTCCCCGTCTTGTTTTGCACTAACTGCAGTTTCCACTTTGTCTTCAAGGGTAACCCCATGTAGAGTGTGCCTTCCTGATTAGGTGCAGGTGGATTTTTATTTTATTCTTTTGCTGTCATGGACACCTGTTTCTCCAACAGGAGACCAGGATCCAGCAAGGCTCCCAAGCTCTTAACAGAGCTGCATACTATTGATGGCAGGACAAGCAACCCTGTTTAAAGCAGTGGCCCTTTCAGTCAGCATCACTGTCTTCTCTGGATCCAACTTCTCCCTCAGCCACTTGGCTATGGCATTCAGGCAGTAGCCAGGACAGAGACAACAGCAGCCAGTGGCTTATTTAGAGTAACAGAGAGTTGGATGTCATCAGCATACTAATGGCAACCTACTCCAAACCTTCAGGTGATTTCATTAAGGGGCCTTACACAGGTAGCAAACAACATGGGCAATTTAACAGAGTTTTGCGGTATTCCCCCCCCCCCATATCTACTCTTAAGGGTGAGAGTGCACAGAGAACCCTGTCAGGATTTCATTTGCTTACAAAAGCTGTGCCCCATGTCCCTTCTGCCCCAGGATGGCTTCCATGTGCATGCAGGAACTGAGGGGCTCAATACTGTTGGCCCTGAGGGTTGAATGGTCAGGGTAAAAACTGACCTTTCAGATTGCTTAGGGGCACAGTCATGAGAGTGAACATGAGCGCTTCAGAGTGGCTGCTTTTGCCTTGTGACTAAAACTGTTTGGGGAATAGCACTGCCCGCCTGTGAGCCTTCTTACTTTTAATCTGCTCAATTGATATATTTGTAATAAAAAGACACTATAAACCACTGTAAATTTCCATGGTTGTATCCTCCAAAAGGAACTGTCCACAAAACCTTATGCTAGAATAAAACTTGTTAGTCTCATAAATTAGTCTCAAACTTCATAGGTTTATAATTCTGTAAATAATGCAATGGTATGGGTAAAGGTAAAGGTTCCCTTGCTCGAAAGCCAGTCAAATCCGACTCTAGGGTTGCGGTGCTCATCTCCATTTCAAAGCCGAAGAGCCAGCACTGCCCGACGACATTTCCGTGGTCATGTGGCCGGCATGACTAAACACCAAGGTGCACGGAACGCTGTTACCTTCCCACCGAAGTGGTACCTATTTATCTACTTGCAATTTCTTGCTTTCGATCTGCTAGGTTGGCAGGAGCTGGGGCCAGAGACGGGAGCTCACTCCGTCATGCGGCACACTCGGGTCTTGAACTGCTGAACTACCGACCTTCCACAGCCTGCAGTTCAGCGTCTTAACCACTTGAGCCACCGCAGCTCCTCAATGGTGTGGGTAGCAAACAACTATAACAGAAATCCACTATGGAAGTTCATCTGTAGAGACCTTGCATTTCCCAAAGAATGTTTTGTTGGGGGACATTTTTTTCATGGAATAAGACATCCCCAAGGGAAGCTGTTGTGCACTGTGTTGAATGCCAATCTGATTTTAAATAGCCACATATAAAAACATGCTAACAAAAAAGTGAATTCAGACAGCTATTTTTCTACCCTGGGGTGGCTTTTTATAATTACCTCACACTGGAGATCAGTGGAATGTAAATTTTTCATGTGGCCAGATTCTTCAGTAACACATTTTGTAAATACCTTAAACATATAGCCCCTGTGTTGCTGGACCACCATATAAAAGCTTGTTGGAACATTACCCAGAATGAGTACCACATAGACTTCCACAATTAAATAACATGGAAAGATTGGAAAAAAAACTCCATCATCCTTATCTTACTTATCCTCACAACAACCTATGGCTGTTGGAATCAGTGGCACTTCTTGTCCCCTCACCTATAAGTTTTAAGATCTGCTCTGTTAGTATCAGTTCACAGACACATATTTGCTAACGGTAGCATCAAGTGATGATTTACATGCATAAAATATGCCATGAAAGAAAATGTGTTCATGTTACGAAATACCATTGGTTTTCAGTGAAGCCTGTTCCCACATTCAGCTGCCTGTCATTAAACCTGAAGTAGGCGTGTGATGAAAAATCTAGTGAACTTCAGGCATATGTGAACCCATCCTCAGAGGACCTCATGAAGCTACACTTAAGATAGCTCCCACTGGACTTAAACAGAACTTAAACTGTCCTGGGAAAAGGGGTTCTGCAGTGGTTAGCAGGATTCCCAACAGCCACTGGGTTTCACTGTAGATATGAAAGCTGAAACAGTCCTCAGGACAGATATAAAATATCTATGTGGATTTTGGGCATATTTCCTGTTAACAAGGTACAGAGCATGTACATAGGGTTGCCACCCTCCTGGTGCCACCTGGAGAACTCCCACTATTACAGTTGATCTCCAGACAACCAAGATCAGTTCCCCTGGAGAAAATGGCTGCTTTGGAGAGTGGACTCTGTGGCATTATACCCTGCTGAGCTCTCCCCCCCCCCCTCAAATCCCTCCCTCTCCAGGCTCCAACCCCAAAATCTCCAAGTATTTCACAACCCAGAGCTGGCAACCCTAAGTATACAAAAAATAGATTTCAAATCAAATAAGGATTTAAAAAGAAACAATAACTTACAGCATTTGGAATCTATTGATCTGCCAGTTTTTTGTGACACACTTGTTGAATTTGTAATTAAAGCAGAAGTATTGCTAGTTTTGAACAGAATATCTGGTGAATCTAAGCCTGTTGAAAGAAAGGAAGAACTTTAGTATTCTTAGAATTATGTTTCTTCAAAAATGGTTCCTTTAACTATACTTTGAATATTAAGAAAATGCTGTTTTTGGCTGTTAAAGGCTGCCTCATCTAACGCTTTTTAAAATGAATGTTTGTCCTACAAAAGGGAAATTATTGATGTTTGTTTTACTTCTCAGACTGTTCAACTATATTTAAAAATGAAAGCTGATAAATATATTTGATCTGAAGTAATCTTGCCTTTATATTGCTTCTGGCAAGCTCAGGTCATCATGGAATGCCTTCATCTGAATGCAATATCCTTTGGAAGTGAAGGTAATAAGCAAAACCTGCCTTTTCAATGGTGGAACCCACTCTGTGGAATTTATTATTTTGTCCACACACAGGTAATGCAGGCATTACATTTTAAAAGCTTTCCCATTTATTTTGCTCTAATTTTTTTAAAAAATGTGGTTTGTTGGAAGAGTGCAGTGGGCTGCATCCATTGTGAGAAAACACTGCATCTTGGCATTTTTTCTAACCAGGGAAGTAGCCCCCTGCAATTTTTCATAGGTTTTCACTTCAGACATTACATATGTCATGCCAACAGACCACTTGTCAACAGTTACTTAGGGGGTTTCATTACATCTCCACTGGCTTTGTGGCAGTATCACAAGGCCTGTTATCTTTCAACGTTGTTTTTTTTTTGGGGGGGGGATCATTATCCCACCCCTGCAAAGAGCTTTTGGAACCATAGGCTGACTTGATTTGTTTTTAAATTTGTCCCCTTATGCATTTTAGTAGGGCTATTCAGTATATATATATTCTGTAGGGCTGCCAGCACAAGGCTAGCAACCAATAGGAGAATCATGGCGGGGGGGGGGGACCTTGCTGGAGATGTCATCATGTCACTGCACTGACATTGCTTCAACATGCCAAAAGTGAAATCAGTGTGTCACTGGGAACGCTTAGGGCGAAGCTTCGCCCAAGCGCATACCGCTAGGAGTCTTTTTTAAAATGGCGGGGGAAAGCCGGAAGCCTCAGGCTTCCGACGGAAGTGGCTAGGCACCGGTGGAGAGCGATCAGACGCCGGTTTGTATCGGAAGCCACCGTTGTACTCTGTTTACCACCACTTCGGACCTAGTGGCAGAGTACAACGGTGTAAAAGGATTTACAACGGTTAGGGACGGGAGGCAGATGTTCGCCGTGTGAACGCCCGTAAGTACACCGGTTGGAACCGGCACCCTAACCGTTGTAAATCCCCCGTCTGAACGCACCCAATATGTTGACAATTGCCCTCCCGCCATTTTTGTCCTGCTACCCAGCTGAGTGGTGGTAGAAATGGCCCGGGGGGTGGAAGAGCCCTTGCCTCTAGCAGGAACTTGATAAGCTTAATAATCACACATACACACCAACGTGTGCATGTGTGTATCTTGTTTTAAATGGATTTTATTATGAATTACTTCAAAGGCCAGCTTTATTTTTTAATGAAATGTGTGCCCCACCCTTCTGCCCTCATCAGACTCACCACAAGGCAGCTAACATTAAAAACATACATAATAAGAACACATCCTAAAAACTGCTAACACCAAACAAAAGCACATCATCTAATCTAGTAAAACCAAAGATAGACTACACATACAAAAACATAAAAGCAACAATTAAAACATAGCGTAGAAATGAAGGATCACGGAGGTAATGCCCGATGAAACAAGAAAGTCTTCAGCTGCTGGTGGAAGGCTGTTATGAAGACAATGGCATGACACAAAAGTTTAAAATAAAGTGCATTTGACCAGTGTTTCCTACCATTACACCCTTTGAAGGACTGGCTAGAATGCGTATCCATGTATTTATTCTTACAGATACCCTTATGAGAGCCTTCTAGGTTGACACAAAACCTATTGGTTGAAGCAAGCATTGAAATCTGCAGAAAGTTTATTTGCATCTTTTGAAATAAGATTTAGAAGAGGTACCGTATAAATATCTTAGTTTTGATTTTATTCATAAATAATACACAAGGCCAGATTTAGGGATGCCAGCCTCCAGGTGGGACCTGGGGATCTTCCAGAATTGCGGCTCATCTCCAGACTAGAGAACAGTTCCCTTGGAGAAAATGGATGTTTTGGAGGGTGGACTCTATGGCATTGTACCCCACTGAGGTTCCTGTTCTCCCCAGAATCCATCCCCTAATCTCCAAGAATTTCCTAACCTGGAGCTGGCAACCCTACTCCCCCCCCCCATACCCTGCTGGTGGCCAGGGAGGACCTGGCAACCCTAGCCAGTTTCCAAAATCACAATATAAATCTAGAGTAATTTTGAGATTATTCTGATATTGTACCACTGCATGTAAATTCCCAGTCGATGTTATGCAGTAGAAAGCTATTACTGATGGTGTCTTCTCCAGTATCTCATGGTGTGAGACACACATGCATACTTAAGCCATGATAAATTGTATATGGAATTCATACAACTTTATATAAGGGGAGGGGGTTTTGCTTGTGTAAAACTGCCCTGAACGTCAAAAATGTCTCTCCAGACAGGGGATTCCAGGTTCCCTTGTATACAAATTGTTTCTTACAAGGTTATACTTCTAAAGTTTTAATTCATGTATAAAGTTAGTATTTGAAATATATTTGGAAAAAATAACCTTGTACATCTATGTCAATAACTTCATACACTCGCATCACAATGTCCTTCAACAAATATGATAGGTTCACCAATGGAATAGGCTGTTGCAGGCCAATCAGAGCCTGAGATGTTAATGTCTCAGCATAGCGTTCTGCTTGAGTAGTTTGGATGTGGTACACGGAGACATTTAAGGGCCACAAAGCTCCAGTGATCTGTAAAAAAGATATTCTTATTATATGCTCATTCACGTTTATATTGACTTTAATATTTGTAAAAAAGTGCCTTACATTTACTTTACTTTCCCCCTCACACCTCTCTTCTATTTCTGTACCACATATAATATAATATAATATTTTATTTATATATGTGCGTGTGTGTGTGTGTGTGTATAAAAAGATATTCGTATTGTATGTTATGACACTTTTTGATAGATTCAGGTGGGTAGCTGTGTTAGTCTGAAGCAACAGAACAAAGTTTGTGTACAATGGCACCTTTAATACCAACAAAGTTTAATTCTGAGTATTATTAAGAGCAGAGTTAGGAAAGCATGGTAGAAGTTAGGGCTGCCAGTCCTCTGTCCCAGATCACATTTTCCACCACCAGTCCAAGCTCTGCCATAACGTTTCTGGTGATTCCTAGGGAAGCATGACATCACTTCCTGGTTTTCACTAGATGTGATGTCATGCCAGTGCTTCTGGCACCCCTTGTCCGTGCCTGCAAATATAGTAGAACTATTGGCAAAGTAAAACAGCTAAGAGAAGACTTTATGGAATTTGCATGGATATTGGGGATTCTGGGGGTCTTCAGGGCAAGTAAGTGGAGTGACCTTGCTAGGGAGCTGATGAGACACTATGCCTTGTACCGTACTTTCTATCATATCAGAGTGTATGAGACTGGGCTTTGCAGTGCATGCTCTAGATTATGTATATATAGCAGGATTGTCCTAAATATAAAGATTTTTCTAAAATAAAGATTTTGATTATAACATTACATGAGTTCAGTATCTCTATTTTTTCCTGAAGCAGTCTTTCAATAGGGAAAAATAGGACAGAGTTACACCCCCCCCTCCTTTAGATTCTGAAGTTGTGATTAGTTCTTTGTCCAGTAGGTGGCGGTAACAAATTCTGTTTAGTCTCTGGTAAGAAATCCAGAAGGTAGTCATCTTAAATCTCCTGCAGGAAAAATAAACTGAAGTCTTGTAGCACCTTAAAAACTTAAAAAACATTTTATTCTGTCATAAACTTTCATGGACTAGACCTCGCTTCTTCAGAAGCTATGAGTGTATCCTTACTATACAGACAAAGGAGAAGTGATAATCAGCAAAGACCTGTAAATCTGGAATGAGACAGAAACTGGATTTTGATTTTAGTTCTGTGTTCTGTATTCTCCTGTCCCATTCCCCCACCCTTGCTGTCCATTAGCCTATCTGCATGTAGCTGGAATAAACCTTTCATAACAGGATCTATGGCTGCCAGCCTCCAGGTGGAACCTGGGGATCCCCCCCGACCCCTACCCTGGAATTACAGCTTATTTCCAAACTACAGAAATCAGTTCCCTGGAGATAATGGATGCTTGGGAGAGTGGACTCTGATGCTGTAGCCCACTGAGATCCCCATCTTCCCCAAGCTCCATCCCCAAATCTCCAAAGGTTTTCCAACCTGGATCTGACAACCTTAACTCCCACCCCCCACCAGTAGCCAGGGGGAGCCTGGCAACCTTAACTGGATCTTCTCCGTTCGTCATACTGAGAAGAGGAGGGAGGCGGTTGCCTTGCAGAGACAAGGGACTTGTGCAAGCTTGCTTGTAGGGCAAGGAAGGTACTTTTTCCTGTCTTCCCTACTTCCCTACACACAAAAATGCTTGCACTTTAGCAGCATAGGTCCAGGCCTGGTTTGGAGCAGTCCATCAGTACATAAAGGGTTATGTTTTTCTATGAAAGCTCAGAGTACCTATAAGGCTGTGTGGGACACATAAAGCCCCTTACCCATACACATTCACAGCAGATCCAGTGTACCTACACATGGACAGCTTCTTGCTTACAGACAGTCTCCTAACCTAAAACAGCTTTTTCACCGCAACAATGGGATACTTAATAGAGACACAAACCCAGGGACCAGACGCCGCAACAGGTCAAGATGCCAACGTTGTACCTATATACTATATACCTATATATACAGGCAATACTCTACAGGACCATCAGCAATACCATTTTGGGCTCATTCACTTCCTCATCCTCCAATGTAATACATGGCACCATGCGTCAACACTGCCCTTTTGTTCTCCATGTAGGACTAAGAGGTCCCTTTCTATCCAAAATGCCCACAACATTTATATGAAAAATCTAAGTCTCTCGGGACACTGAATTACTCACCATTCTCCAACAAAAGAATTTGAAAGGGTGAAATTCTGAATTGGAACTGATGAAGAAGTTTCACACTGCTCTCCAACCAATGTGGACCATAACTTGGGATTTCCATCCCTCTATAGCTGTTAATAATCTTCACAGAACCTAGAACATTCTACCTATTCCAAGTGTTAACCTGTGAATGGAGTCTGTTTTTCCCCCCCTTTATTAGATTTGGGTTTTTTGCTTAATCATATTTCACTCTCAACCCTGTTCATACCTCCTACATAAAGTGTCTGTCCAGTACGGCTCCACTCATAGCATCTGAAGAAGTGGATTCTAGTCCATGAGAACTATGCTGGAATAAAATGTTATTAGACTTTAAGATGCTCCATTCTCCGGTTTATTCGGACTGTGCTGTGCCATCACAGAAGTTTGCAGTAGGCTGAAAGCCATTGCATATGCATCCATACCATAGAGTGCAAAAGGCGTGAATGTTCCAGAAGTCTTGGATCCACTCTGATTAATTCTTTGAAATCCATTTTCACCAGGACTGACACATTATACCAATATGTTGCCACTGTTTGCTCTAAAAATTATCAGAAAAAAGAAAACAATGTATTTGCATCTTGGAACATTAAATCTATGGAAATGTGCTGTTACTGCAATGAGCTTCTCATTTCCAATGGCCACTTTCAATCTGATCAGTGCCACAAATTCAGCACTGAAATTGATCCTCTTTACCAATTATTTTTAATATTCCAGCACAATTAGCAATCTGCAATTCAGGACCTCTGTATATACCTCCTGCATGCCAATCATTGTGTTTTACTGCCTACTGAAATTGATGGCAGTTTTGCAGCCATTTCCAGCACTGACAAAACATTGTCATCCACAGCAGAGTTATCCCCTTCTAAATCCACCGACTTTAATAAATTTAGAAGGGTGTAACTCTGTTTAGGAATGCACTATGAGTCAGCATTAATTGGCTTGGTTCAGTTTTAGCCTATTTGTCATAATCTTCTGGAGTACTGAGGACTGTGCTAACACAGAAATAAATAAATGCATGCCTTTCTTTACACATTTGAAATGCTGCCTGGGTGTTCATTGATTAATAAAAAATTATATTAAGCACAAAAGTGTCCATTGATGTGCTGTTCTGACAACTTAATAATACTTTGGCTGTGCTAGTTCTCTTCATTGGCATTCTAAAGCTCCAGCAGCTCATGCTCTGAGTCAGAGATACTCTACTAAAGGAGAAAAAATAGAAGGGAAGACAAGTTGAAGCATTTGGGGGGGTCCTCTACTAACAACAGCATTAATTTGACTCTTAAATAAATTAAGATCTCAATGGCTGCATGTTTCTATTGTCACAATTGACAACTTGTCTTTTTTCACTATTTTCAGTGGATAAACAATGGGCTGCTATTGCTGGAAACTGATGGGGAACACAAATTGGTTCAATAACATACCTTCAGGGACAGGGTCTGAACAACCCATTCCTTTAGATGTCTTACAGCATTTTTGACGTTCTGGACAATCCTTATCAATAGTACAGGAAGCATTTAACTCTTCTACTTTCTCTGGGCAGGCTCCAAATGTTGAGGCAAATTCACTGGATCTGTTTAGGGCTACATAACAAAATAATTAACAGCAAAATTGCATCCACTGTCCAAAATAGAAAAGGCTACTTTAGGCATGACTTTTTCCCCATTGAACAACAGATGTTCACTACCACTATATGCCATATCCCAAAATGTCTTTAAAAGTCTGTGGTTGCCATTTGAAAAACATAGTCTTAAAACGCTCTTGGGAGCACCAAACCAGTTGTGAGATTCATTCATCCCCAGGCACTGTTTAAAGCTATTTTATTCAATGCATAGCTTCCGTCTCCTAATAATACGGATGTGAGTTGAATGTATTCCAATGGGAAACTGCTACTACTTCAGCCTACAGAAATATGCACTGCTAAGGCAGTATCAGAGCTGGTTATTTTGGAATCCCCCATCCCCAGAAACAATTTCAGCTCTCATAAATTAAAAAAAAAAATTTAAAAAGTTATGAAGTGGAATTTACTATGGATGTAGTAATGACTACGAGCCATGATGACTAAAGAGAAGCTCCACACCTCTGAACACTAGTGGTAGGAGGCAACATTCAGGGAATGCTTTGGCCTCTATGTCATTTTGTTGGACCCACCGGGCAGATGTGCTGTTCTGACAACTTAATAATACTTTGGCTGTGCTAGTTCTCTTCATTGGCATTCTAAAGCTCCAGCAGCTCATGCTCTGAGTCAGAGATACTCTACTAAAGGAGAAAAAATAGAAGGGAAGACAAGTTGAAGCATTTGGGGGGGTCCTCTACTAACAACAGCATTAATTTGACTCTTAAATAAATTAAGATCTCAATGGCTGCATGTTTCTATTGTCACAATTGACAACTTGTCTTTTTTCACTATTTTCAGTGGATAAACAATGGGCTGCTATTGCTGGAAACTGATGGGGAACACAAATTGGTTCAATAACATACCTTCAGGGACAGGGTCTGAACAACCCATTCCTTTAGATGTCTTACAGCATTTTTGACGTTCTGGACAATCCTTATCAATAGTACAGGAAGCATTTAACTCTTCTACTTTCTCTGGGCAGGCTCCAAATGTTGAGGCAAATTCACTGGATCTGTTTAGGGCTACATAACAAAATAATTAACAGCAAAATTGCATCCACTGTCCAAAATAGAAAAGGCTACTTTAGGCATGACTTTTTCCCCATTGAACAACAGATGTTCACTACCACTATATGCCATATCCCAAAATGTCTTTAAAAGTCTGTGGTTGCCATTTGAAAAACATAGTCTTAAAACTCTCTTGGGAGCACCAAACCAGTTGTGGGATTCATTCATCCCCAGGCACTGTTTAAAGCTATTTTATTCAATGCATAGCTTCCGTCTCCTAATAATACGGATGTGAGTTGAATGTATCCCAGTGGGAAACTGCTACTACTTCAGCCTACAGAAATATGCACTGCTAAGACAGTATCAGAGCTGGTTGCTTTGGAATCCCCCATCCCCAGAAATAATGTCAGCTCTCATAAATTAAAAAAAAAAATCAATTAAAAAAGTTATCAAGTGGAATTCACTATGGATGTAGTAATGACTACGAGCCATGATGACTAAAGAGAAGCTCCACACCTCTGAATACTAGTGGTAGGAGGCAACATTCAGGGAATGCATTGGCCTCTATGTCATTTTGTTGGACCCACAGGGCAACTAGTTTGCCACTGTGCGACGCAGAATGCTGGATTAGATAAACCGCTGGTCAGTTCCAGCAAGGCTTTTCTTATGCTCTTGGTCCTTGTGGGCCCACCAGGGGGCAGCAGGACATCACAAGTGTCTTCTATGGGCAGCAGAGGCTGGTCAGATCCTATAAGTGTTTCTTTATTGGAATTAGCAAAGTTCACATGGGGTTCCATGCAAGAGCAGTTCCCTTCTCCAGCCCCACTTTGCACTTTCGAAACCTCAGGGGCTGAGCTGTGCCTCTCCCTTGGAGAAGGTCTCATAGCCTTATCTTGACCCAGGCCCCAGCTCCTCCATTAGGTTCCTCCCTTCTCTGTACCCTCTCAGCCTTTCCCAGCCAGCTTGCCTTCCTCTCCTCCCATCTATCTGGCCATCTCCCTGGGGCTCCACCCATGCTGGCCAAACCCAGCACCACCCTTCCCTTCTGAAGCCTTCTTCCTCTCTTAACCCTTTATCACCTTGCCCCACTCTGACTTTGTTTGCATAGGGCTAGGCAGAGGCCCTTGCGGCCCCTCACACACACATCTAATGCCCTGGGCTGGCAAACCTCCTGCCCCTGCTGCTATGCCTGCCAGGTGGGAGGGAGACTCTCCTGCAGGGGCCACACCCCTACTTCCACTGGGCCCATCAAACTACTACTGCCTTCTTCTTGAGAGGCGCCCTGCCCTTCCTGGAGCACCTGCTGCTGCCGCCTTGGGCCCAGTAGGTGAGGCCTCCTCTGCTGCCTCTATGCTGCAGTCCTGTTTCCAAACGTAGACAATCTGCATGTGGATGATCAAGAGCAGCAATGGAGTATTAGGTTGGACAGTAAGGTTACCACCAGTGGTCCTCTTTTGTTGGTATCCATCCTCTTTTGGGCTCTTTTTAAAAAGCTGGTGAAAATGTCCTCTTTTGGGGTTGGAAGGTTAGGACTATTCCTTGTCCGTAGCAATTATCACAGCTTAAATAGTAGGGGTATTTAGAATGAGATTTGTCATAATACACTTGTTTGAAGAAGTCAGTCGGGAAATAAGTCCTCTTTTTACTTTCTGTAGTGTATCAGGCCCTGTCAGGGCCAGGCATGCCTGGGCTTGCCCAGGCACAAACACCACTAGCTTCATGCCAAAAGACAATGGGCCAGTAGGATCCTAGCCAGGCCCAATGAAAGGACTAGGTCCCAGGCCAGGAGGCCAATAAATCTCTTGGTCACTGTAAATAGCCTATCGGGATTGGGAGGGTGTTTGGTGGTGGGTTTCTCTGAGGGAATATAAGCCGGCCTGCGAGCCGGTTAACTTGTCTTTGTTCCTGACTAAATAAAGGTATGCTTAGCTGAAATCACTCTCCGTATGCATACTTTTCACTTTCCAAAATATGATAACCCTGATGGACAGGTCAGAATCTGTCGTGGTGTTTACTTCTTGCCCTTACAGAAAAACAGCAAGGACAGTCTTCCTTGGCTTAGAGCAGGGGTGTCAAACATAAGGCCTGGAGGCCGGAACCGGCACATCTAGGGCTCTTATGCAGCCCATGAGCAACTGTACAAGGGAGGGAGTACGGGGGAGGAGTGGGCACAGCCACTCCATTGTGTCTTCAGCATGGCAGAACAACCTCGTCTGCAGCAGTCAAGCACCATGGGCTGCACTGCTGCCTCTATGGTCCACTATGTTTTTGGCGGGAAAAACAGAGGAAAAATTTAAACAGAAATGGCAAAAAGCCATAAACTGGTATAAAGAAAAATTATAATGTAAAACCCCCTAATTGTTGAGAAAGAGGGATAAATGTATGTTATGTTATGAAAAAACTGAAAATAAAATCTTTTTAAAAAATGAATTTGACACCTCTAGCTTAGAGCACTCCCATCCCTAGGTGACTGCAAGTATGAGACGGCTGTCAGTTCCCTTCCTCTTTACCTTTGTCACCACCCCCAGTCATTGCAAAGGTGATGGTGGAACCTTGCAACACATCCAATGCATGTCATTCACTAAATCTGGCTCCTATTTATATATTCTGACTGCCTGGGCAGTAGCACAGAGCCTTTGTGTAAACTCCTGGCATCATGGATGCCCAGTGTGTGTGGTTGCTTTTACAGGGAAAGACTGCATAATTTGGCACAGAAGGAGTTCACAATAAAAGCTGTGTGATGGAACGAATGGGCTAGTGCTGCTCCTCTGCCACACTATTTCAGTGCTGAATTATGAAGTGGGCCAGGGATTCTCAGGTCTTCCAAGCAGAAACATGTGATACTTATGAACAGTTAATAGTAATAACAAAGCCAGCAAGAAAAATAAATAAGAGCAAGCAGATCTCAAACAATTAAGAATGCCTGGCTTCAATAGAAAGATCCCAGATAAGTATGGTTCTGTTGCAAGAAGGAAAATAGTACTAGGCTGTCTGATAGCATGATGTCAAAAACAAGTGATGATATTATTGTTGTTATTGTTTTTCAGTAATCTCTCCTTCCAATAAGGAAGTTGATGGTCTTGTGCCTATCAGTTAGGACAACTAAACAAGGTTACTCACAGACAAGGTAGGGATTTCTGTGTCCCCAGGGGCATCCAATGAAGCTGATGGGCAGAAGGTTCAGGATGGACAAAAGGCAACACTCCTTTACACAAATGTTAAATTAACTGCCAGAGGATGTAATGATGGCCACAGGAATAAACAGCTTTAAAAGGGGATTAGATAGATTCATGGATGATAAGTTTATCAATGGCTACCAGCCATAGTGACTGAGGGGGACCTCCACATTCAGAGGCATTAATCCCCTGAATTCCAGAGTCAGGAGGCAACATCAGGGGAAGACCTTGGCCTCTATGCCCTGTTGTTGGCTGTCCAGAGGAACTTGTTGTGTGTGACAGGATGCTGGACTAGATGGAAGAAGAAGAGTTGGTTTTTTACCCCACCCTTCATTACTTGAAGGAGTCTCAAGAGCGGCTTACAATCACCTTCCCTTCCTCTCTCCACAACAGGCACCCTGTGAGGTTGGTGGGGCTGAGAGAGCTCAGAGAGAGCTGTGACTAGCCCAAGGTCATCCAGCTGGCCTCATGTGGAGGAGTGGAGAATCCAACCTGGTTCTCCAGATTAGAGTCCTGCTGCTCTTAACCACTACACCAAACTGGCTCACCAATAGATGGACTACTGGTCTGATCCAGCAGGGCTCTTCTTATGTTCTTAAGACTCTCCAAATAAACAGAAAAATATTATTACACAAAAATTAATAATTTTTAAAAAGAAAAGGAAAGAACCTCCTCTTCCCTTAAAATGGACTAATAAGGATTGTGCATACTCATTGCCTTCCAGGAGCCAAGGAACACTGAGAGCAGTTTAATATCAGATCTCAACTGATTACAAAATGCAAGCTACAGACTCCTGGAGCCTCAATTTGCCTCAGAGTCACAGCCATTGAGAGAAGAAAAAGGAGGCTTAAGCCTTTAACCTCCATTTGGTTTCAGTCATCAAAACAAACTCCCCTATGCTACTACTAGCATTTAAAAGGAAAAGATCTGTCCTTTAAGATATATCTATCTTGTGCCCCGGTCACACGGGCCGGAAAATGCGGGGGGGGGGCGTGGCTGTTTGCCCCGGAGCAAACTAATGTGTGGCCACTGGATCACACATCCTGCCGACGTCCCGTGGTTCGGGGGGAGGTGCCGATCACACGACAATCCTGTGGCACAGCAAAGAAGCAGCACGGCGCAATCACAGCAGCAATGGCTAGGCGCCGCTGTCATGGCAAACGGGGTTGTGGGTTTTTTTAAACCGAAGTGTGTGCATGCGCCGTTGGGTGCTTGTGGGCATCCTGTGGAGATTTGTGGGGGAAAAACCTTTTTGCGATGGGACATGGGCGGGTACCAGATGCCACGAACTACCACCGGAAATGCGATCAGATGCCTGCCCTTGCCCCGCGGTTTCCGGAAACTAGTACCTCGGAGGTACTAGTTTTTTACGCCACATCTTTGGCGGGAAGCCTTGGGTTAGCCATGGGAGCTCTCGCTTCCCAGGTGTTGCGGTGTGATCTCGCCCGGAAAATCCATCTATCTTCCGTCTCTGTAGCGTGGCTAATGCTCCGTGTGACCGCAGCCTTGGAAGGACAAAAGGAGGAACTAGCCTGCTAGAGCCCTCAACGATGTATGGTCTCATGGTTGGGAAAATACTGTGCACATATCCCCCAACCACACACAAACACCCTTTAGCCGAGGACTGTATAACATTTTAAAGACTGTGATCACTTCGAAACTAAAAGAATCTTGATGGGAGGGCTAATTACAATTACAGAAAAAGTGCTTGCTCTGAACCTAATTAATTGTACCCCCTTGCTAGGACGTTTCAGCTGTGAATGGGGCAGAGCCTGAAACTGCTTGAAGTACTCTGGAATGGGGTGATGGTGGCAGGATGTGTGTGCCCAACTCCAGTTC